TCGCCATGCATGTTTGTCATTTAAGTAATGAAGGATATAAAATTTCATTGAAATTGGTTTTAGATTCTATCGCGAACATATAACGCGACATGATTTTTTTAAATATTACTAGCTACTCACCCCGATTTCGTACGGGTGTATATGTACATACACACATCCACGTATAAACCAGCCCCTATCTCTAAAAATGCATTAAAATCCGTTACATAATTTCAAAGATCTAAGTGAACAGACTGCGGAAGTGACATGATATTATACTATGTAAGGAAAATATTCAAATTCAAATTCAAAAATCATTTATTCATGTAAATATCATTTATATATATATCATTTTAGCCGCTTAAGAATAACATTTTTTTTAATATAATATATTTCCCTACCGTCGAGTTCAGTATATATCCAATTGAGAAGAACTGGCAAGAAACTCAATTGAACTACTTATTTTTTAAAAAGCCAGTTTATTTACGATGTATATTTATATAGGTGTCTTCTACATATGTCTAACATTGCCATGCACGCTCGTCATTCAAGTAATCGTTTAGTGAGTGGCTTTGCTCAGTAAATATGATTTAACAGATGTTTTGACTATATTTAAGGATATTGTTGCGAACTATTTTTATACCATTATTATTATTTTATAATATTATATTGTTTTTATATGACATAAGTCATTATTACACAATATTTTACGACTATATCGGTGCCGTTTACTTTGTACGTCGTCTTGGTCACCATCCTTCACAGATATATTTTGATAGTACTGAATGAACACAGAGTAACTTCGAATCAAACTCGAGACTGTCCATACAGCTACAGCATCAAAAGGTTTCGTAAACTCTCTCAGAACGTAATCAATATCACACTCAAACCAGTAAGTTATAGGCCATTAACAGCACGTTTGCCGTTTGTTTCTCGTTGTGTTACGTACATGATAAATAAACCGCGGCAACAATGTTCATTGTCGCGACGGATTTAGACGCATTCAGGGTTTGCCGTGACGTGCGACGAAACGATTTACATGAATAAAATAGTACTAATAAACGATTATTCGACTTTTACATTGTAGTCAATTGCGTAGACTGGCATAGGGACATTGACAGCCTCTGTGGTCTTTTGGTTTAGCATGCTGCTTTACTATGGTTGCGGGTTTGATTTCTCGCACATTTGTATTCATGAGTATGATTGTTTGTATCAGTCTGGGTGTTTCACTATCTCAGTACAGGAAGAAAAGGGCGAGCACAATAGTCGCAGTGCTACAGGTACTACAACACCTGACAATGGCCCAACAAACCAATAGTAAATAACCCAATAGTAATAGTACTAGTACAGTATAGTTGTAGTATATAACTAATTATAGATTTCTACGTAAATTCCAAATGTTATATCACAAAAAATATAACAAGATATCTACAATTTTAACGCGTAATATTTCGCCTGTTTTGCTTACAAAAATATTAAACAAAGTAGCTAATTATGCGGTATGTTTATTTGTTACTAGTCGATTCGTGCAACTTTGTCTGCATCAAGTAAGTAATTAAAATTTATCATTATATTTCGCCCAATTTAAAGAAAGAAAGTAAAGAAAAAAAGAAAGTAGAAATAAAGAAGAAAGAAAGGAGAAAGAAAGAAAAAAGAAAGAAGTTGCTTAATATCTTTTTAAATTATACCCTACTAGCTAATAGGACCCCGGCTTCTCACGGGTGTACATGTATTACACATATAAACCTTCCTCATGAATCACTCTATCTGTTAAAAAAATCGCTTCAAAATCCGTTGCTTAGTTTTAAAGATTTAAGCATACATAGGGACGGACAGACAGCAACAGCGACTTTGTTTTATACTATGTAATGACGTGTAGTTCTGATGTGCAAGCTTTATTACTATAAAGTTTTATTATAATCTGTTCAGTAGCTTTTGCTTGAAAGAGTAAGTAACATCCATTCATACTAACAAACTTTCGTGTTTATAATATTAGTAACATATTGAATCGATACAGAACAAATTTTGAGGCAATTTATTGATTATTAGTCCATTTACTAATAGATATATTTATATATATGTGTATTACTAGTAGATATATTTAAATATATGATAACCATTTACTAACAGTCCCGTTTCTTTATATTTTGCCGACTTGCCACCCTGTTACGAGAGTAGGCAATCATAAACTGATTGGCATTATTCCAACACGTGAGATTGTTTTGAAGGTGGTAATGAGGATGACAGTGATGGATTGGACACCTAGGAACAATTCGGACACTTAACAAAACATGAAATCAACTGTGTTACTAATATAAGAATCATAAACTGCTGTTAAAATGTTTAGTCTGTGTACAATATTTGGGTTAAACGTCGACTGTGATCGATATAAAAGTCAACAATAACAGCTTACTAGATATGAAAGATCATAAATCAAGCGAGACGAATATTACGTGCAAAAAAAAGCTTTCAATTTACCTATTGATCGATGGTATAGCGGTTTAGCACACTGCCTTACTTCCGATGGTCGCGGTTCGATTCCTCGCACGGCACGAACATTTGTATTCATGAGTATGATTGTTTGTATCGGTCTGAGTGTTTTCTATGTATATAGGAAAAAAATCTATGTATTTGTATCAGTTATCTAGTAACCATAACACAAGCTTTAACTAGCTTAACTTGGGTCTAGACGGCGCTGTGTGAATTGTCCTGAGATTGTTATTATTTAATTTTTTTTAATTGGTACCATTTATATTGTATACCTAAATACACAAGATTCACCATAAATAAAGGTATTTACTTTTAGGTAGTTAGTTTACTAGGTTGCACTAGCCATGATAACACCTTGAGAGGTACGCCCCTTGGACACTTTGGGGTTTTAACCGGCAGGAGTTCGGCAGTACCCTTTCGTTATCGGAGTGAGTGGAGCGAGCGGATCTTCATAACAGATTTCCCCAATTAAAAATAAAGGCACGTTCACAGTCAGGTCGTGACCACGGCTAGTGCAGCATAATCGAAACAGGTAGGTTCTCCCTACCTTATATATATTTCGATTAACCCTTATTTACCATAAAATTATTCGTGTTAAGACCCGATTAACATTATAAATAATGAGTAATAAATACGGAAATTAAAAAAATAAATTATACGGGTAATTTAATTATCTAATATAGGTACGGTGGGATTGTCATTGTCGCATTTTGTGTACAAATATCCAAATAAAAAAAAATATAAAAATAAATTGTCAATATACAGAAATTAATGGATTTAAATATATTCTCATTTCTCAAGATTCAAAACGAGTCAAGGTAAACAATCACTAGGGAATACTATAATTTAACATAGACAAATGAATAAATATCTAATTTGTATTTATTAATAAGAATTGTAAAATTTTAATTATGAAATGTGTAACGATTTTATGAATTCATGTAAAAATAAAGAACGAGAATAAACAACATATGTATATGCATATTTGTAAAGACTATAAGTGGCAACTAGATAAATTCATTAAGATTACTATTTATATATTTTATATGTACCAATTTTACGTAAATATATAAAATAAATTATTATTAACATAATATTCAATTAACATTTTTAAAGTTATTAATTTAAGGTTTTTTGTTGTATTATTAAGTTATGTATATATAATTTGTAATTATAAATTTAATATCTTTGTATAATTTGAATGTTATAATATGATACGCTATATGTGAGATATTGAACAGGTAGATAAATATATGACTCAATTAACATCCCACTTCTGGGCACAGATCACTTCTCATAAGTGGACACTTTAACTTGCAATTACTATAATGCAATTAATATAATGTATTTTGTTTCATTTTGAAATTTCCGTCTCTTTTACTAGTATTACACTGTGCTCTCCAAGTTGGCTCTTACAACATTCTGGAGTTATAATACGACCCAGATTATTCCAAAAAAATTGTTCACTCAATTAAAAATAACATCAATACATATTACAGTTTATAACATCGAATTAATTACTAACAATAAACTAATCGTGGTTAGTTTACAATAAGTGCAGTGAAACGATTTGCTGCAGTGTAAGCAAAAAGCAAATATATATTTATCCCACAGTTTTCCCATTGAGTTCTACTTCGATTTTTTTATTCGAGTATAAGTTTATATAGACTTTTATGAGCCCTTTACAAATCCCAGTAGACTGTACTAAAACAGATTACTTATACTCAGTTTAACGATCATTGTGCTAAGCGTATTATAAACATAACGTTTTATGTCATAGTTTATTTGTACAATAAAAAAAATAAGTAGATAAATAAAGCTTTTATTGAACAATAATTGTAATATATAGTCTCTATATATTTTAAAAATATAAGTAATTACTTTTTATATAAAATTTCTGTTTGTCTCTGTATCTACTCTACTCTGTGAGGAATATATACTCGTACTCGCAGAGTACACTTTAGAAGGTAAAGTATGATCGCAGAGTATCATATATACAAAGAGTGAAAGCTTTTCAACCAGTGCTCATTCTAGAATATAATAACTATTCTATTGAAAAACTTTGAATAAAACTTTCGATATTACCATCATAATCTATGGAGTAACTATGGTACTTATTATTCTTTTTATTCAACTTTCTTTCAGTTAGTATTCAAGTTTGTACTCTGTAAAAAATATAGATCTCTAACGTCTCCAATAGAACGATATATGCCTATTACAGTATATTGCATTGATCCAACTTTAAACTCAAATCCCTTAATTTATAAAAAGACACGTTTTTCAACTATTTTAGGTGTGGTAATGTTTTATCTTTTTCATTTGCACAATTTTCGCAAATTGAAGGTATTTCATAAAACACTTTAATGGTCTTATGTTTTATTTTTTATGAATAAGGCAAAAAGTAGATATCTGATTTAATAGATATACATACTTCTACTTACGTACTGGGAATTAGCACTAACTGCGGGCTCAGCTAAAAGCACATTGCTTGATTAGCCACACACATCAATCTACTGCTACATCAACTATACCTGATAACAGCATTTTCTCGGGCAGGGTACCAAATGGTAAATGTGGCTCACCGGACTCAACGGTGCTGGGATGCTCGACGTCCTGAGCATGCTCAGTTTCCGCCGCTGCTCTGCGGAGAGCGACGCACGCCGGCTTCTGGCAATTTCATAGTTGGTTACATCAGCTGAGTCGACGCTCAGGCCGCGGAATAATGTCGGTCGGAACATGCTTGAGCAGGTCAGGCACAGTCCCACTCAGAATTCCACAGTGTTAACTTATTTCACGTTTACAACTTATTTTATGATTATAACAATATTCCTGAAAAGCTGATTCTATTTTAAACCAGTAAAATTGTGCATTTACTAACTACATACATTGACATGTTCAATTTTATTGAGTGTGTGCTGACTGATACACGAGTATTTTGGCCGATTATATAACGTTAATATTATACAATAATGTATATTTTTTAAATATATTACGAACTGCGACCAATTAAAAAAGAACACGACGGAACTATACCTTTAAAAGTAAAACCGTGTGTGTCTGATACAGATATTTTCTTAGTATAAAAAACTAATTTTTTTTTGTAGATGTGAAGTGATGTGGATGGATATCCAAGACGTTCTTATTAAAATTATAAATGCGAAAGTTTTTGAGAATAGATTAATCGGGATTTGTTACTTTTTCATGCATAAACTACTGAAAAGATTTTCATGAAATTTTACAGTATTATAGCTTACTAGCTACTCGCCCTAGGTTCGCACGGGTGTACATGTATTATATATATATAAACCTTCCTTTAGAATCACTCTATCTATTAAACAAAACCACTTCAAAATCTTTTGCGTAGTTTTAAAGATTTAAGCAATAAGAGACGGACAGACAGCGACAGCAACTTTATTTTATATCATGTAATGATACATCAGAATAGCACATAGGCAATAAATTTCATGCGCGTGAAACCGTGAGCGCTATAGCAAGTTCAATTATATTATTACATTATAAGCATCTTATTGTGATTCAAATATATGATATTTGTTGCGGACAAAATATAGTTGCCGAGATAAAAGCAGAACAATACAAACATGTCTGGCCTCAGTAGGCCACGCACGGGTTTTTATTTATACCCAATCTTCAATGTATATGTAAACAGTCATAAATCAAAAATTACGTTAGCTAAACTGATTAGGTACAGATTGGCTAATTGTCGACATCTTACCGAAAGATTTGTAGCCTGAGGTATAGGCTCAGTATCGTTACAGTGTTTTGAATCCATGACGACAGAGTTGTTACGCTCATTTTGTACGAAGAAATAAAATCTACTAATATTATAAACGTGAAAGTTTGTGAGTATGGATGGATGTTTGTTACTCTTCCACGCAAAAACTATTAAACGGATATTGATGAAGCTTTACAGTTATATAGTTTATACATCAGAATAACACATAGACTATACTTTAAAAAGTTATTATGAAAATTGGACACAATATATTAATAAATGTTAAGTCAGTCTACATCATGCAGACGAAGTTGCGTGGGTTAGCTAGTATCTTATATAAAACGACCTCGGTGGTCTAACGGTTTAGGATACCGCTTTAATTACGATAATCGCGGGTTCGATTCCTCGCAGTACAAAGATTTGTACAACACACACAGACCAATCATGCTTATGACTGTTTGTATTTCTAAAAACAATGTATTTATTTAGTAGTTTAGAAATAATGTAGTTGTCTAGTACCCATAACATAATCTCTGATAGCTTGGTACTAAACGGTGCTGTGAATTGTTCGGAGATATTATATATTTTGACCTGATATCCTGACTCCTTAGAGAGGACTTATACCAAATATCTCCACTCCTAAGAATATCCTTTAATTATTATCCCTAACGAGACTATGCGGCGTGCTGTTAATAAAAAAGGGAAGCACAAAAGATTTCTGTATGGGGGAAAGAGCATTGTTAAAGAGCATTGTAAGTCAACAACATTCATTGCTATGTGGATGACAGTACCGGAGATGCCTTGTACAGCGGCCATGCTAATATGTCGCAGGCAAAAGTTATAGAGTACCGGAACAAACATGTGTCTGAAATCGAAACTTCACTCCATCAAGTTTCGGTTTGGGGTCTGAAAAATTGTGTTCAATTCAACCTCAAGAAGACACAAGTTTGCGCGTTTACTGCTAAAAAAATTCCATTTATCGTATCTCTTCAGTTTCAAGACACTTTCCTTGTTGTGAAGCCAAATCTTAATGTTACCAAAATTTAATTAAACTCATCCTTAACAAAAATAATAAAATAAATAAATCAAAATGTATATCAATATAAATTCAAATAACTGTTGACGCAGACCATCACCTATACGACCAAAGGTTTTCAAAAAAAAATATATATATAAATGCTAGGAAATGACTAGTAGAAAAAGTTTTATCTTTTTCTTAAATACCAATTTTGAAGTTATCTTATCATTCTTTATCATTTTTTTAACTGATGATAATAAGATGGTGCTCCCGCCTGCGCGTACGGTATACGCTGTTGGGGCACCAGTGGAGGATGATAAGATGGGCACGAGGTCAGGTCAGTTAGCCCATCGTGACAAATTAATCAGGAGGAACCCCCTATGGAAACCATCGTGAAAAATTCTTCTTCCGTGGAGGTCAACCTGACATGGTACATTGCTAGCACTATGACCATCAGTTCACATTACTAATGTCTGGATGTATTGTTAGGAAAAATATTTCACCAACATCCTGTAAATTAAAAAATATCACGGTATAGGTGGTCTATCGGTTTAGCACACGCTTTACCTTCGTTGGTCGTAGGTTGGATTCCTTGCATGGTAAAACATTTGAATTAATTAATATGATTTGTTTGTATTGTTCTGGATGTTTCCTATGTATACTATATGTTATTATAAAAAATATATTTAACTATATCTTTCAGTTGTCTAGTACTCTTAATATAAGCTCTGCTTAGATTTTATCCTGGGTTATTATTATTATTATTATGTGCCTCAATACATTCATATATATGTATAGGGGAAGAAGCAATAATTTCTCAATATTCATATATTTATTAAACTAATATATTTTGTTAATGTAAATTAAATTAAAATTTCTTTCTTAGGTATTTTTCTTAATTTTAATTCGAGTGTTTGTTTTGTCAGTTCCTAATTAATAGTTAATATTAATATTTATTTTATTAATGTATTCCTAAATATCGAAGTATTTCAAAAGCAGACAGATGTATCCAAAAAATATTAAACAATTTGATTACTTTGTCCTACAGTTAAATAAATTAATCAGCTTTTCAGAAATAACGTAAACGTATTTTTAAGTATAGTTTTTTAAACTTTCGAATTCATCAGAAGATTAATGATGTAAATATTTATGTAATTTTGAAAAATTTAGTTTATAAAAATATTAGTTTTAATTTAGAAAAGTAAAATTTAGAAAATAGTATCCTCGTCCAAACAGCGGAGGGTACAAATCACCTTTTCCTTTCCATTTCATGTAATCCAATTAAAACGAAATCAACTTCAATCAGCACACATTATGAATGCATTAATGACGTCACAGTAAATAATGCCATAAATGCAACTACAGCGTTAATGCACCGTATTAAGATCGAGAATGCAACTTGAACGTGCACGGGAGTTCGCGCGGCAGTCGCGCTCGTTCCGGGGAAAAGTCACGAACTGGATGTGTTTCAGTCGAGACAGGTCTACGAAACCGTTGACCGTCCGCCAGAAAGTTGCACAATTATCTGACATTTAAAATCGGATCGAGAGCTCGACGGATATAAAATCGTGCGTGCATTGATTTAATCCCTGATCCCTTTTATTACGTTGTGTTCGCATGTTTATAATACACAAACAAACGCACACAAAGCCTAAATTAAGTAAAATATTAATTAAAGGACTTTGGGTAAAATAGAATAGAATTGAAAATCATTTATTCAAATAAACTTAATTTAAACAATTTTTTTTTAATCTACCGCTCATTAGGAAAGCTGTCGCAACACAAGAAGAACAAGCAAGAAACTTGTGTGTTGCTCGTTTAATTAATCCTTGTAAGTACATATTTTACAAGTCGAAAAGTGTCAATACAAACTACTAACCAGCACTAATTTATTAGGATCAAATATAAATACACAATAAGATTAAATCAGTCGTAGTGATAAGAGTGTGAGTAAATGTGACCCAGTTGACGAAAGTTTTCCTATAAAACACAAATTAAGTGAAATTTTTAATTATTAACCAACTGAAAGATGATATGATAAGAAAGGGAGTAAATAACGAGATTACTGCGAACAGGGATGAATGGAAGAGAAAGACATATTACGACGACCACAAATAAATGGGATAAGATAGAAGCAAATGATGTTAAGTATTAACCAACTATTAATTTTATGCAGTTATTTTTTTTTAAACGATGGGAGTAAAAATTAATTTAGAATGGGTAATTAGTGAGCAGTTTCATATATAAAATGTTTAGATAAAACAATTACAATGAAACATTCTGTTAAATAAACAATACAACCAATTTTTAACATTGGAAACCTTATTATAATAGACTTTAATATATTATTTTACTCTTTTATATTTTGGTCTGAATACCATTGTCTGCATTAATACAACATATATATTCGTAAACTGGAGATGGTTAGATATACTTCCTGCTCTATTTTTTTCTGTAGGCCGTAGCTATAGATATATTAAGATGCCCAAGGTCCTTTACTAATTAACGTTGTAATGGCAAAACAATACGTACATATATTTTTTGTCATACAATAAGTTGTTATCATTGAGCCAAATTGTTTGTATTGGAATTGTGTACATTGTGACTACGTTTGTAATATTTTATATATATATATATAAATTTATTTATTACTAGTATTTACATAACCTAATTGTACAACTTTACTAATGACTTTACATTCATTTATAATTTAAGAGCTTACTCTCTTGTCGGTAGACCACTTGCCACTTTCCACGATCTTCCATCATACTCTTTATAATAATATGTTGATACGATACGATTTTCTCTTTAATTTGCTTAATGTAGCTGTGCCTTGGTCTTTCCTTCCCCCTCTTTCCTAACATTTTTCCTGGTCTATTTTCTATTGTATTCAATATCTACCTTTTTTCTTTTACCCTGTGTAATACTTCTTCATTTCTTACTTTATCTTTCCAGCTAATTCTTTCCATCCTTCTCCAACACTACATTTCAAAAGCCTCCAGTTCGTCCCTTTCTTTTGGATTTAATGTCCACATTCTATACGCATACGAACTGACTCCTGATATACAGCTCACGCTAGTTTGGGAGTCAGGACTGCATCAAACTGTACAGAAATGAAGGTTTAAATAAATAAATAAATAGACTTGGTTTTCTCGAGAGACTACAGCATAGGGCATTTTTAAGAAGGCTATATTAAGGTTACTAAAGGGTCGGCAACGCGCATGCGATACTCCCAGTGTTTCAGGGCTCGAAGGGCTATAGTAACCGTTTACCATCAGATGGGCCGTATGCTTGTTTGCCACCGACCTAGATATACTGTGTTGGTGGTTAAAAACTTTAGTTCTTTTTTTATCAATGTGTCTAACATTAATAAAAAAAACTACACTACACTAACTACAGTATATCTAGGTTTGTGGCAAACAAGCATACGCTCTTTATTTTTAGTAATTCTTTATTTATTATACTATTTCTTTATATATAAGAAAGAGTATCCTTAACCCCTAGACTAAAAAAATATACTAAATAAGTTCAAGAATTCTATATAGTTATACAAAATATTTATACTTGCTATAACTATTATACTAAGAAAACTTATAGATACTAGCCTATATTTACATATCTACAAATAACATATTTAAAACAATTTAGATCTAATTAACTAATCCATACAAATCTGGGCGGATTGCTAGTTAGTTGTGCAAAGAAAACAGAGCTGACAGTAATGACTCATACATAAACCTACAATGTGACAATTTAAACGGATAGAGTAAATTATTATTGTTTATTTTATTGGTTGTTTGTTAAAAAGCTAAAACTGTCGAGAAGAAAATAAAACAAATTTCTATTTTAAATTTCACTCGCTTAAGGCTGCATGTCCACGACAACTCTTCGTATACAACTTGGCGCTATGAAAATATCTTACTAATATTACAAACACTAAATTTGGTGGGTATGCCAGATTTTTTTTTCGCAATTAGCAAACGCTTAAATAGGCAAAAAAATACGGGAATTAAGTTTTTTACCCGGGACAAATTATCAAAAGACAAATTGTCTAGCGTAGATCGATCGATTTTAATCGTATTCGAATCGTGCTCCGTTTTTTATTATTAAAACAAATTACGTTTTAGAAGTATACGTAACTAAAAAACTTGATTTTCACCAAAGGCAAGATCTATCTCTAGCTCATTCATATTGAAAATTCAATAGAGTACAAATTCATTAAAAAAATGTGCGATACATTTGAATTATTTAACTTTAATAATACAGAGTAAGCAGAATATAGCGGAATGTAAATATTACTGCTGATGGATATGACTTTAGTCTGAGGGCACCGCTAGGGGTTCAAAACTTAGGCCGTCGATTTCGATCCCCATTTCAACTGGACGGGAGGTCGATCGGAGGGGAATTCTTATTGAGTGGACGCACTCCTCTTAAACGTTCAGGGCACTTTGGCAAGTGAGTTTGTTGACGCGGCCGCGTGCCTTGTAGTACGACTACCCAAGTGTCACTCTAAAACGGGAGTCATTTGTTACAATGACTGCCACCTCTGTGATATTAAAAAATAATCGATATGCGTTTACGCCAAAGGCATACAGACAACCTCGGTGGTATAGTGGTTTAGCACACCGCTTGACTTCCGACGGTCGCGGGTTTGATTTTTCGCACGATGCAAACATTTGTATTCATGAGTATGATCGTTTATATATTTACAAAAAATACATATAAGTATTTATATAAGTTGTCTAGTACCCATAACACGAGCTCTGATGACCGTGGGACTAGATGGCGCTGTGTTAATTGTCCAGGGTTATTTATTTATTTATATATTATTATAAATAATTTTAACAGATGAACACCGAAGAATAAATTGGATTACATCTGTATCATATATGTGAGTGATCTATAGCTTGTTGTACAGCGTTTTTAACAGTGAAACCTGAAGGAATATGATTGTTAGTATTATGGGTTAATGACCCGACTGTTAACAAAATACCATATCAGCTTAACCTCCACGTAGTCCCACCTGAAGCTATCGTGGTAAATTAACTGACTAACTACCTGAACTGAATTCATGCTCATTTTAGCTTCCGCTACTGATGCCCCGCCAGCGTATACCGTGAGCGCATGCTGGTGCACCATTCCATTATAATCCATAAAAAAAAACACTAAAACTATTTTTATAGATTCACTATTATCACTGTTATACTTGAATATAATATCATAATTTCGAGTAAATACATTTATACAAAAAAAAAATACTTGGTATTTAATGCAAAAATTAACATAAATCTAAGAATTATGAAATTTATTTATTTCTTTACGTTGCGTTATATAATTATGGTATACTAACTAATCCCGCGACTTCGTCTCTAAAAAAAATCTAGAATAAAAGTAGCCTAAGTTACTCCTAAGTTCCAACTTTATCATCCATAAAAAAAACCACTAAAATTATTTTTATAGATTCACTATTATCACTGTTATACTTGAATATATTATCATAATTTCAAGTAAATACAGTTATACCGTAAAAAAAATCCCCTGATATTTAATGCAAAAATTAATATGAATCTACGAATTATGAAATTTATTTCTTTACGTTGCGTTACACAATTATGGTATACTAACTGACCCTGCGACTTCGTCTAAAATAAAAAAAAATCTAGAATAAAAGTAGCCTAAGTTACTCCTTATGGCTTTAAAATAGTATATTAGCTGACCCCGCGACTACGTCTAATATAAAATATTTTTTCTAAAATAAAAGTAGCCTATATGGAAGAGATGCAGACGTTCTAAATATTACTGATCTACATCTTGCATTTTATAGGCTTTTTGTTAAAGCATTCTTCGATTTTGTAACAGGCTTATTTGTTTTAACCAGATATAATTACTCACCCTTTCAATACAAGGTCTTCGGCGACGGAAAAAATCTGATATTCCACACAAATACATAGTTCAAACACAGAATTAAAACAAATATCAGAGTTATTATTTAAATTACACAAACACACTATTTGTCTACACTTGTTATATTGATGATAACACTTTCATATGGTAATAAACAGGAAGACTAATATAATATTCTAGTGTTACCTACACTAAGTGACGGTAGGGAAAAAAATATAATACAAAATGTTTGACGTTCATAAGCGGCTAATATGTTCTACGTGAGTAAATTATTTTTGAATTTGAATGTGAGTGTACCTTAAAAAAATCACTTTATCATGTAATTTATATATCACGTAAGTCACATATAGTCATAATAACTAGTATAAGTGAGAATATCGACTTGTAAGAATTAAATACACAAGTTCAAACCCTATTGTGTGTAGTCTCAACACTGATCATCACAACACTATTACTAATGGAGGGTAGTTCAGAAAATGCCGAGATGACAGAACGTGTTGCAAATGCAATGACGACTGGTCAAGAAATGTGGGTAAGGAATCTCATTCATCTATTATACAGGATGTGTCAAATATATGTTTACTATAAAATCTTTATCACTACATAGTATAAAACAAAGTCGCTGTTGCTGTCTGTCCGTCACTATGTATGCTTTAATCTTTAAAACTAGGCTACGGATTTTGAAGCGATTTTTTTTTATAGATAGAATGATTCACGAGGAAGGTTTACATGTAAAATACATGCATAATATTGTAGAGAAACACTGATAAATTTAGAGACTGAAACACTGATAATTTCTAATGTGATGTCGTAAATAAACACAGTTTTTTTGCGCTTACATTGCAAACGCTGACTGAACACCACGAGATAAATCAAAATAATGTACTACAGTATTGTACACCTCAAAAAGGTCAACAAAAAAGTCCCCGATGGTATATGTCTATCTCTTAAGGATAACTATTGACCACCAAACATAACCAATTTTTATCCTTTACATTTTACGGAAAAAAATTGCTAATTTACGTAATGATTTTAAGCAATACAGCAAATAACTTTTGAAGATTTTTGCACACGATCAAAAAGGAAGACTGCTTTTTACATACTATGTTATATCAATTAGTGCTTTTTTTTCCTCGACAGAGACCAGGGCAGTTGTTATTTATTTGTTGTTAAAAATATAAATAACTAGACAGTCATAGACAATATAAAATTAAAAGTTCAGTCTAATGTGAACATCCTGTATACGACTATTCATTAAGTAACCGCCTCGATCTCGCGCGAACCGAATTTCATTGTTTACAATTTACAATCATCGGGCGTATGCACTTCGCTTCGTTCATATGAATTGTGATAAAACTGATATAATGACGAAGTAAAGGTCACTTATCAGTACCTGATTACCACACCGCAACAAATCTACACTATTTTAAGTGTTACCAACAGAATTATATTTATACTACCTGTTGCCCGCGGCTACGCTCGCGTTAATTTATCCCCTTAGGGGTGGAATTTATCAAAGTCCTTTCTTAGGGGATGCCTACGTTATAGTAGCTTTATGCATGCAAAATTTTAGCCCGATCGGTTTAAAATTGACAAAGTTTCATCCCCTATTTTATCTCTTTGGGGGTAGAATTAATAAAAATCCTTTCTTAGCGGATGCCTACGTCATAACATCTACCTGCATGCCAAATTTCAGCCCGATCCGTCCAGTGGTTTGGGCAATGCGTTGATAGATCACTATGTCAGTCACCTTTGAGTTATATATATTTATTTAGATAATATTCTTTATTGTACTTATATCTTTATTAGAGTTGCCAGATTTATTTTCAGCCTATAAGAGGCAAACGCTTATAATTATAGAAAAAAAATACGGGAATTTAGTTTTTTACCCGAGACAAATTATCAAAAGACAAATTGTCTAGCGTAGATCGATCAATTTAAGAATAAAGAAACGGAGCACGATTCGAATACGGGACAGAGTCAGTCCCGCCGGGACATTTTAAACTAAGCCTAAAATACGGGATGTCCCGGGAAATACGGGACGTCTGACAACACTAATCTTAATATTAATATTGTATAATATTATAAACGCGAAAGTTTATAAGTATGAATGAATGTTTGTTACTCTTTCACGCAAAAACTACCGAACGAATTTTGATGAAATTTTACAGTAATATAGCTTATACAACAGAATAACATGTCGGCTATAATTTAAAAAGATATTATGTAATTTGGAGCGAAATATAATGACAACTATCAATTAATTGTGATCCAGACTGTCGCGGATGAAACCGCGGGCACAGCTAGTATGTAATAAAATACAATATATATGATTCTAGTGCACTACATTGTACCAAAGTGGCACACTAGAGTCCTGCCAAAGAATTTGAGATATTTATATCTATACTTCTGTTATGTATTCGAAAGTATGTTTATCTGTCTATGACATTTCCACTTATGACGGATTTTAATGAAACTTGAGTATCATACTCAAACTATGTCATCACGTATGCTATATATTGCTGCCTTTTTGAATCTAATATTCGCATTGTCTCGGTAATCTAGCGTTTTAGCACACCGCTTTACTATCGACAGTCGCAGGTTTCCTCGCATAGTACAAACATTTGTATTCATGAGTATGATTATATGAAACGCCATGATGGAATTTTCACATCTATTCTAATAATATTTTTATTCTTAAAACAAATGAATGCGAAGCGCATTCGAAATTTAAAATTACGAAGGAACAAAAGAGATTTTATGTCTCCTACATTATGTACGTATTTACAAAAAAAGTATTTAAACATTTCTATCAGTTGTCACTAGATGGTGCTGTCCTAAGTTATTATTGTTATCGGCATCGGTTAACAATTCCTATAGAATGTTAAATATTTTAAGCTTATATAGCATTACGCAGATTGACGATTTGCTATTTCAATTTTGTAGGCGAAATGTATTTATTATTTTAGATCACAGATTTTTCAGATTTATAAATCTTTACCAATATTTTAAATGCAAAAGTAACTTTGTCTGTCTGCAGAGTGACTTACGCATTTAAAACAAAATTATTTACATTGTTTTTAATTTTTATAATTGTGAATGTCATATATATTTATATTTAGTCCACAGACTAAAAACTAATTTTGAAGCTTCTAGCTTTTAAAATGACCACACACAATATTTCATCTGCCCGTTCAATCTCTTACAACCCTTATTCCGCTTTAAAAAGTATGGCCTGTGTTTTTTCTCAGAGTCTAGACTATCTGTGTACCACATCTCATTTAAATCGGTTTAATTGTTTTGTCGTGAAAATGAAAGTAAGGATAATAATTATCAAATCAAATATTGTCATTTGTCTGTTGCCTATGACAGAATGTGAGAAAGTAATAAAGACTTCAAAACCAAATGTACCAACACATTTAGGGCAATACCTAAATACTTATGTCATTGAATAATTAAAAACAATGTAAATACGTTTGTTAATACTCATACCAGTATTAACATCGCGCATACAGCCATGACGCGCCCGTCTTCCTCTTTCGACTGCGCGCCGCGCAATATAGTGCATCTGTGGCGCATTACGTTTGCGCGGGAAAAATAAACGACTACTAAAATGGCTTCTTCTGCAGACATACTGATTAATTGTTATTTTTTAATAACATAATATTGTTGTTTATTAATAATTATTTTATACTGTTGTTTATACTATTTATGTCTGCAATTTACTTTTATTACAGTAAAATACCTATATACACAGAAACCTGAATATAAAAACAGCCCTTAGTGACACACCTAACAACTTAATTAATTTGATTTTCGTAGTTAACACTGGGTACAAAATAATTATCTTCATTACTCACTATGTTGAAAATGACGTGCATTTCATAACAAGAGCAAGTTTCATTGAAAATACGCGCGTCAGCGGTACCTCTTATACAATAAGTAATTTATTACCTTGTGGTATTTTACGATCATTTTATTATCGATACGCTTACAGTCCTGCCACGTTGTAACAAGAATCAAGGTTTTGTATATTTTGGAAAATCATTGTATTGAAATTTTAATTGGAAATTTTCCATCACTACAGCGTCAGTACACGAAACAGTTACGAGTAAGCGTAAGTCAGGATACAAATTAAAAAAGAAAAATATTAGGTACTCTATCAGTCCGTACATTTAAATTTCTAAACGATGACATTTCTAATATAATTTTCTAGTACAATGGTACTTTTTGTTATCAATTTTAATTAGAAATGTGAATGTTTCAGATAGAGATATATACTACTGCTAATCAAATCTGAAATTACATACTATACATATTATACTATATTAATAAATTTATATAACTATTTGTATGAAATATGCCGGGAAACTTAAAAATACGTCTGTCAACGTAACTACAGTATAACGGAGTTTATATATTATGGGCCCATTCATTAGTATTGACATACGAAATACTAGGTATTAGAAGATAGTAATGAAAAGTAAATTAGGTCAATTAAACAAACTTGAAAAAGAAACAACATTTTTCTAGCTGCAAACAGCTTCTGAGGTCTCTCATAATATTAGTATGCAATATTATGTTATATATGATATTAGTATCTTTAGTAAGAAATCTCCTAAGTAAATATAGAATAAATCATATTATTTGTGTCGTCGTCATTTGTAAATTAAGTACAACATTCTTACCTAGACCCGAAAAAATAATTACATATCTAATAAAAAAATCAAACACAATTGCCAAGGTTGTCGCATCAAGTAAATTTGCATTGCATCGCCATTATTCATTCTTCGTGAGAAATAAACGTATCGAAAACATACAAAAACATAAAATAAACCATACAAAGGGGCAAAAAACAGTACCCAAATATAGCACTAGACCTTAACTTGGGTTTAATTGTTTTAAATTGTCTTTGTTAAGAATTCCTGCCTACTAGAGGCTGCTAATCCAGTCCCTCGATGGTTGTTGCCCTCAGAGTCGATGCCGGCAAAAAGGATGTCTACAAAAGGTGGTGGAGATCCTTTTCCTATTCGACAATTTTTTATCGGAGATGTCGAGTCTAATCTTTTACCGTTCGGTTTTTTTTATCTCAGGGAAAGGCAAAAGGGCTCAGCCCATACAGCCATCGTCTGTGGTTCAAGTCATAATATGTCAAGTTTTTAATTGGTATGTCAGTCTCAATGTCAGTCAACTGCCGCAATCAGAATTTAGATTCATAGTCGTACATTATACTGAGTTTATGTATAATATAATTTTACCTCTTCGTTATCATTTGTTGTTTTCCTTCTAACTTCAACGTTGACTAATAAATTAAAACAATGAAAAAACTATCTCATTACCTCTAAACTGTTTCACGTAATTGTAGATCTATCAATAATTTATAGTTCCTATCAGCATGGATGGTAAGTTTTCCAAACTGAATATTATATCATTTTCGTCGAAATCTTGTGACAAAATAACAATAAATCCCTTTTTAGGTACTGCAGCAAAGAAATCTACCTCGCTCGAGACTTTGGTCATTCAGAATATAACAAACATAAACGATTTAAAAGCAAAACTTAACCATATTATTGAAACCGGTAAAGATTACGAATACGATGTCTCTTCGTGTTTGAAATCATTATTACTGAGTGGTGACCAAGAAATCGTACTTCTCAGCGTGCAAGCAATATCTGAGCTGGCTAAATGTGAGGACAAAAGAGAGATATACGCTCATAAAGAAGTGGTAGAGCCTATATTAAATGTGTTGAGGAGAGAGGCAAATTCTGACAAAATAGACCTCCTGAAACAGTGTTGTAGAGCTTTAGGGAATCTGTGCTGTGATTGTGATACATCGAGGAAAATTATTCTTGAATATAACAGTGTTCCTATCATTGTAAATGTATTAAAACAAGCTACCGACAAAGGGATAGAATTTGAAGATGTGAAGATTTATGCTATAAAAATGTTGCAGAACTTTGCTATTGGTGGTCTAGAATTTTCAGAGTCAATTGTACAAGGTGGTATAGTAGATTTGCTACATAAAATATTATTGTTGGAACTAAACAAAGATGATATGAACGATGATATGGTTTTGAGTGCATTGCTTGTTTTGAGTGTTGTTAACGATAATACTCCTGAGTTTCTGTTCGATGAACATGTAAATAAAGCAGTGCTGGATGTGCTGAGGAATACGACTAATGTAGAGATATCGGAGCTGTGCTTGGAACATTTGCATGTGCAGGGCGAACATGGTAAGAAATATATTGTATTATATTACACCATAGCAACCCAATTACATTTTCCTACAATGATGTTTGTATGATATAATGATGTAATTAATTTTCCTTTTATTCAAACTCAACGCATTTAATCTATGTAACTACTTATATAACTAAATTTTTTTATGTTTATTTTTAACCCTCTCATTGCTAGATTCCATTATTAGTCTACAGTTTTAGTTGAGAAAGACTGATAGGAAATTCTACTGTATATTCATTTATTATGTATACAATTGGCAAGCATAATGCCATATGCTGATGTTGTTTTTACAATCAGTATCGTAATAAATTAAAGTTTGAAAAATTTGCAATTCTGAGTCATAAATTTGTACAATGGTACATTTGATCATATCTGAATTTGTGTATGAAATAAAACCAAATGTCATAAAATAGTAGACTATTAATGTAACAATGAACATTATAATAATATTAATGATAATTATAACCACACAGTACCATCTAGTCACAAACTAAGAAGAGCTTGTGTTGTGGGTACTAGACAAATGATATGAATACTTAAGACACATTTTTTTGTAAATACATACCTAATATACATAAAAACCACCCAGAAATAGAAATAGAAATAATCTTTATTCAAATAAACTTAATATAAGCACTTTTGAATAGTCAAGTTTTTTTTTATTCTACCGCTTATTCGGAATGCAGATTCATCACAAGAAGAATAAGCAAGAAACTTGTGTGTTGCTCAAGATCCAGATGGATACAAACAGTCATACTCATGAATACAAATGTTAGCACCACCTTTTTCTATTGCAGTGAATCACACACAATGACACAAACTTGTAAACCTTATGTCATACTATGTATTGTCTATATTTATGACCATATAATTGTGTATGATTAGTAACAATCAAATAAATGATATATCTGTCACCATGTAATAAATCAAACCCATTGGATGTAAAATGGTGTGCAAAACCACACACATAAGCTGTCAACATATTAAATGTTCACATATGAAACTTACAGATTCAGTGAAAACATTAATTGCAAACGAAGGTGGTTTGCAATTGGTTTGCACTCGATTAGAACAGCTGATCCAGAAGCGTGATGCTGGTGACTTAAATGCAGATGACTCGGAAGTGGTTGCCATAATGAGGCAGGCTTGTGATCTCATTATTATTGTTTTGACTGGAGGTAAGAGTTTTTTTTTGCTATAAACACAACCACAAAATTTTCATAAAATTCTGACTTTTGGCTATGGTTTTATTTCTTTTATTTATGTTGTTTTATTAATAGGATTGGTTAACAATAATAACATTAATGAGTAAAATAGTTGCTGATTGTAAAATTTTTTAGGAAATGTTAGGGAAGATGTTTAAATTTTAGTGCAATAATTTCTGGTATCAATTTTACATAAGAAAAAATAGCTTATAACTATTCAAAGACTCATGTATCTAAACACCAAAATACATCATAATTGATGCAGTAGTTCATGAAAGTGTGACAAACAAACTCACTTTGACATTTACAATATTATCTACAAACTAATATTGTAAATGTAAATCACACCATAAATTATATGTTATATTTATCCTGTTATTATTACAAAAGTACATATGTGCAGATATAATACTAGTTTAATGACACATATGCAAAAGATTCACTTTGGAAGAGTTTAAAAAAGGCAATACATATTTTATCGACTTAGGTGTACTTTCCACAAGTCCATTTCATTATTTAATAGATTTATATTATTTTATTCAGCACTCATTAGCATGTGTAACATTGTGGTGTCACACATACTAATATTAGTGTGGAAACTGGACTGTCACTACTGGAAGTGTTATGACCTTCTCTATTGGTGATCAAATTACTTTACTGAAGAGACTGACTGAGTAGGTCATAACTAAAGTCAAGTTTGCACTAAATAATTGTGTTCTCCTACCTGCTAATTTTAGCGGAATTAAACACAATAATATAATCCATTAAGTAGTACCTATATAGTTCTTGTAATATAGTAGAAATACAAGGCTTGCACATGATAATGTATATTTATATGGGTGACAGCACTTAGCCTCAAGTAGGTAATTAGTTTGTTAGCATTTCAATTACATAAATAAGGGCCAGTATAATAAGTTACTTCCAAAAGGTTAAGTCTGTACGAAAAACTAACCTTTACCGTGAAATGAAGGAATTATTTCACGGTAAAGATTAGTTTTTGGATTTTTTTGTGGTTTATTGCCTTCAGTTTCTGAATTCCATATTTTCCAGATGAATCAATGCACATACTGTATAACAATGGCGTCGGAGAAGTATATCTAACAATGGTGAAATGGCTAGAATCGCCAAACTATGATTTGCTCACAACAGCTGTATTGGCTATCGGTAATTTTGCGAGGCAAGATGATTATTGCATACAAATGATGGAGGACAAGATCTATGATAAACTCCTAGGTAAATAAAATAATAATAAAATATTTTTTGCTTATTAAAATTATTAGTCGGACTTAAAATTGCTCAAATAAATAAATTCATAAAGAGCAATTTCAACCTCATCGCCATGAGACCACTGATGTACAGTCGGTCAGTCGGGAGCAAATCAAACAGGGAGGGATCCCTGTTTGGTGACTCGTTAATCGCTGTCCATCGGAATGTTAATCGTATTGGTGTAACCTGACGATAACCAACTGTATATCAGCATTCTTAAACGACAATAATTTATCTACAGATAGTTGTGTATTTTAAATTTATCTCAGTCCACGTTTCAACTTTCGTAAACATATAAACCAAATTAAATTTGCAGATTTATTCGAAGTGTATAACGGTTTTGGCCGGAAAATACAAAAGGAATCAGATTCCATATGCCCTATAGATATGGCAACAGTGACTAAAATTCAACGTGCAGTATTATCTGCACTACGGAATTTGTCTGTGCCTGCAGCCAACAAAAGGGTGGCGGCCGCCCAGGGCAGGGCTGCGCCGATATTATTGGATGCTCTCCCACATGTCGAAGATCATCATGTCGCCTATAAACTTCTGGCTGCAATACGGATGTTGGTGGATGGACAAGGTCAGTATATTAATTTAAACAATTTATAGGATAGCATATTTCTAGCATAAGTACTGTAGAATATATCATTAAAGTGTGCGTGCTAGTGCAATCTAATTCCGCTATTTCTTTATAGGATATTTACAGACTAAAATGATAACAGATTGTTTAGTAATTGAACAAATGTTACGGTTTTTTGTTTGTATAATAAAAAGATACATAAAAGCGCTAATAATAAAAGTCACATGATATATAAATAATTACAGAATGTATGGGACCTAATATTCTGCCCTGTGAAACACTTATGTTTTTTATACTCAATTATATGTATATTATACATACCACAAGTATATTATAAACCGTATAATGATAAACTTCCGGTGTCCCGTCTGCAGAGTGTGTGGCGCGGCAGCTGGCGTCTCGCTCGTCTGCACTGGACGCGTGCGCGCGGTGGGGGCGCGCGGGGGAGTGCGCGGGCGCCGCGGGGGAGGCGCCGCGCCTGCTCGCCTGGGCCGTGCGCCGGCTGCGGCCGCCGCCGCCCGCGCTGCTGCAGGTGACCGGGGGCGGGGCGGGGCGGGGCGGGGCGCGGGGGGCGCGCGGGGGAGTGCGCGGGCGCCGCGGGGGAGGCGCCGCGCCTGCTCGCCTGGGCCGTGCGCCGGCTGCGGCCGCCGCCGCCCGCGCTGCTGCAGGTGACCGGGGGCGGGGCGGGGCGGGGCGGGGCGGGGCGCGGGGGGCGCGCGGGGGAGTGCGCGGGCGCCGCGGGGGAGGCGCCGCGCCTGCTCGCCTGGGCCGTGCGCCGGCTGCGGCCGCCGCCGCCCGCGCTGCTGCAGGTGACCGGGGGCGGGGCGGGGCGCGGGGGGCGCGCGGGGGAGTGCGCGGGCGCCGCGGGGGAGGCGCCGCGCCTGCTCGCCTGGGCCGTGCGCCGGCTGCGGCCGCCGCCGCCCGCGCTGCTGCAGGTGACCGGGGGCGGGGCGGGGCGGGGCGGGGCGCGGGGGGCGCGCGGGGGAGTGCGCGGGCGCCGCGGGGGGGGTTGATAGAACCATGGAATATAACTGAACCACACTCTAAAATAATTAATGCAAAATAGATTTTAATTATGTAAATGTAACAACGTCGTTTTAATTTCCAGGTTGATGGTTGTATAGCGAGCCTGGTGAACATGTTAGTCGCCCCTCATTCAGTCATGCAGAACGAGGCTATATTAGCACTTACGCTTCTAGCCATAGAATCCCTAAGCAAATCCACTCCACCCAACGAAGAACCAACCGAGTTCGATGCCGAAAGAAGTTTTATTACTCAACTAATAAAGTCCGAAATCGGAAAACACATCTCAGTGCTCATAGAGACGAACTGCGCCAAAATGCCCGTGGAAGTAGCGGAAAATCTGCTCGCATTTCTCGATGTAACGTGTAAGAAAAACGAAATCGGTTTCGATTACAAAGAAGCGAAAGTCCACGAATCATTACAAAAGTTTATGGACTCTAGAAAAGATTTGAGTGAAGACTTACAGACCTGCATCGCGGCTCTTGTAGTGACCATATCAGACAATGGTAAGTCAAATTAATTGATTAAAAAAAAAGAAAATGATAAATGAAAAGAATTTGATCTCATCTGAGAACGAACAACAGCATAAACTCGCAATAAAATTGGCCCCAATTATATGGCCTGTGTGTATAAGTTATATTATTTAAAATCGAATTATTTTTTACAGGAAAACTGTTATAATTTTATTGCATGTGACATTAGAGCCAATTCTGAAAATTCATTGTAATCTATCTCTAAATCAAAAAATAAAGAAATATTTATTAAACAATTTAATTGAATCCTGATAGCAACAGAAAGAAAACATTTGTATGGGCAAAAACATAATCCTGACATCAGAGCAAACAGAAATGGCTTAGTTTATAGATTCGCCTTCAAAATAGCAAATGATGATTTAATCAAAATTATCTTTGAAGGAATTCCATCACTAATTCTTTCTTAAAAAATTGCTTTTACCGAATATCATTTCAGAATTGGCTTCATCGTAGTCATTAGCGTAAACTGTGTATATGTTTGACCAAAATGTGATAATTAAAAATGCAAGATGTTCTAATCTTGCGGATCAAATATCACAACTTCGAGTTGTGAATATTGCCCTGAGTGATCGTTTATAACTTTGTCGCTTTATACATCCTATAAATGGTATTAGTACTCTTACACATTGACGACACTTCAGGTATCAATACGATTCAGGTGTCAAACAGCAGTCGACAGAGTACGGTCTATACCAGAAGTTCCCAAACTTTTTTGTGTCGTAGACCCTTTGCCATATTTTTCGGTTGTGGGTAGACCTCCATTCATACCTACTATTGATTTTTTTTTTAATTTCTAACTGTAGTAAAGTTGAGTGTTAAAAACATAAAGTAAAAACAAGATGAACGCTGTCGTAGACCCCTGGGGGTTGATATAGAGCACTTTGAGAATCACTGGTCTACACTAATATTATGACGCTGTAAGATTTTATTCCGTTTGTAATGGATAAAGTTAAATAAAAATTACTTGAGGGATATTGACAATTCTTTCACCATTACGTGAGCCGCATTAAACAGTAGGCAGTTTTCTACGCGGGGCATATTGACGGTTACAGCTTTTCCTTATGTTTACCAAACCGATAAGGACAGCTAATGCTGCTTCTGAATGTTGTACGTGTGTAAGAGATATTAATCTTGCTATTTGATGCTATTGTACTTTACGATATGTCTAAGTTATATGTCCAGCCTAAGTCATTCATTTATAAACGCTCTAACTAAAATGGTGCTTAATATTTTTGAACGTCGTGTTTAACTTATAAGGAATATCCATTTTTTGTTTTTAATTAATTATAGTTCTAAGTACGTTGTTCTTTACTTATTCACATCTATAGTCGGTTGTTGCTTTTAGGTTCGATATCATACATACATTTATTCGATCGATTCATAAAATACAATTGTAAGTATAAAAATTAGGTGCTTATAAATAATAATATACTGTATTAAATGTATTTTTCATTATTGACCTCTGAAAATATTAAGCACTACGTGTGTGTTAGGCTGCTGATATACAGTCGGTTAGTAGTCAGGTTGCCCGAATACGGTTAATGCTCCGATGTACTCCGATTGGCCCATTTGGTTGCTACACCCCTTATATCAGCAGCCTTACTATTTTATATATTTTGTTTGTTGGAGTTTGGATTACTCTATTGGTTGAGGTATTCCAGTAATAAGGCATTAGTCTATTATTAACTATTATAATAATTAAAGCCCACGTGATTTTTTGAAATACTTATTGATATTGTAACATATATTTGTAAAATTGTATCCGTAGCGACCAAATCGAAGAAAATATGGTTCTTGGCTAATCATTCAGATGAAGCCTGAATGACTAAGATCTTAATTTTATAAGTAAATCTCATGTGAAGCTGACTGAAATCAACAGTTTTATGAATATGGGAGCTCGAAGTTAAATTTTATGCTTTACAATTACAATTATAAATTAATAAATAAACAACCCTGGACAATTACCACAGCGCCATCTAGTCCCGTAAACAAAGCCTTTGTTATGGGTATTAGACAACTGATATAAATACTTAGTTTTTTTTTGTAAATACACACATAATACACGTAGCAAACACCTAGACTGATACAAACAATCATACTGATATATACAAATGTTTGAACCATGCAAGGAATCGAACTCGTGACCAATGGAAGTAAAGCAGTGTGCTAAACCGTTAGACCACCGAGGCCGTCAAATGAAATGGTTCAGATAGGTTTGCTGTAGATCTTAACCTCTTTCAAATAAGACTTTTTAGCAACTGAGTTACATAATTAAACTTCGTGGGCGCATTGCAGCAACAACTGTCTAAATATTATTTTATACTACAGTAGGTGTAGTGGTAGGTGGCAAACAAGCATACGGCCCATCTGATGGTAAACAGTTACCGTAACCTATGGACGCCTGAAATACCAGAGGCGTTATGTGCACATTACCGTCCTTTAAGAAACCTTAATATAGGTATATTGATCTTATCTTGAAATTATCTTGAAAGATTGATATTATCTTGAAAAACCCCATGCTGTAGTCTCTCGAGAAAACCTCGGCAGCTGGTTCATTCCACAATCTAAGAGTACGCGTGAGGAAGTTCCTCTGAAACCGCACTGCTCGAGACCACTTATTCCACAATCTAAGAGTACACGTGAGGAAGTTCCTCTGAAACCGCACTGTTCGAGACCACTTATTCCACAATCTAAGAGTACACGTGAGGAAGTTCCTCTGAAACCGCACTGTTCGAGACCACTTATTCCACAATCTAAGAGTACGCGTGAGGAAGTTCCTCTGAAACCGCACTGATCGAGACCACTTAGGTTCCAGCCTGTGGAGATGAATTCCCTGTCGATGGCGAGCGGTGCGATGGTAAAAGATAGCCGTAGTCAAACAATTCTTAAGTAACCAATATGCTTGGTTATTTCATATATGGGATTTTGTCGCTGCGGTTACTAATTGAAATTATTAAATTTGGAATTTTATTCCTATACAGGGTTAATCGTAAAGGGTATACCAAACCAAATGGCATGAAGAATACTCATATAACTGAACTACGTCCATAAAAAAAAATAAACTAGAAATTGTGGGCGATAAAGGAAACCAGGGAATTGTCGTAAAATGTATATATTATACTAACGGGGCCCGCGGTTTTACCCGCGTGACATTTACAACCTATATGTTATTCTGATGTATAAGCTATATTACTGTAATGTTTTATTAAAATCTATTCCGTAGTTTTTGTGTGAAAGAGTAACGAATAAACGAATATCCATGCATACTCACAAATTTTCGCGTTTATAATGTTAGTAATATCTTATATATAAAATTCTCGTGTCACAGTTTTCGTTCGCATACTCCTCCGAAACGGCTTGACCGATTCTCATGACATTTTGTGAGCGTACTGAGTAGGTATGAGAATCGACCAACATCTATTTTTCATCCCCCTAAATGTTAGGGGTAGTCCACCCCTAATTTTTTTTTTATTTTAAGGCAAAACAACATTTGCCGTGACAGCTAGTATTATATAAAGAAACATTACTAACTAGGGCCAAGAAAGGAAACCGGAAGTAACAATAGAAAGAAGTGACAATTTGGAATAGAATTAGAAATATGAATCTTATAAAATAAAACATAGATTTAATAAGTGGCCTGTATTCCACAGAAATATTAACTTAAAGTTTGAAATTTCATACTATACTGACATATTGACGGTCTCTGTGGTTTAGTGGTTTAGCCTTATTTCCGATGGTCGCGGATTCGATTCCTCGCATGGTACAAACATTGTATTCATGAGTATGATTATTTATATTAGTCTTGATGTTTCTATGCATATATCAGTTGTCTAGTACCCATAATACAAGCTCTTAGAATGACAATAAATGGCTCTGTGTAAGTTATTCTGAGACATAATATTATAAAACATTGACATCGCAGTTAGTATGAGGGTTTTAAAAATATTGTTCAATTTTCCACTTTACTTCTTAAGGAATATGGTTCAGTTTTGTGAGTACTATTATTAGCTTTCGGTGTACCCTTAACGACCAGCCATGAATTAATGTAGGTGCATAATATTGAAACAAAATACTAAACTATACCTAACTATATTTCTTTAAATTTCGCTTTTTAAACTTCTAGCTAGTCATAGTGTTAATTACGATTTACATATAATTAAGCTAGTGGTTTTGCTAGAATTTTCCTGCATTTAAAAGTGATGTATATTTTTAAGTGATATATTTCAGAAGACAGTAATATCTTTACTTAATGGATTTATTTTTTTAAATTCCGCTGCCATAACACGTGTAACAAACCTGACCATCGTTACTGGAAGCGTTACGACCTATTCTATTGGTGAGCAAAATGCGACCGTTATTGAGTCTACATGCAGTATATTTAATAACGTTCGGAATTTGATCACCAATAGAGAAGGTCGTAACGTTTTGCTACACGTGTCGCCTCTAAACGAGGGATCATCAGGTAATGAATAGAGCTCAGATGTAGCTTGGAAGCCTAGTGTTTACTGATCGGCTACTAAACAAAAATACATAATATCTGTAGAATAAATTCTAACTTACTTACTTCTCAATTCATATAGATATTGTTAAGAATATTTTGAGATATTACTGTTTTTTATAATAAACTATGATAAGTAAAAAACATTATTTTTGAGATACTCTTCTCTTTTCGCTGTAGGTACTTATTGTACATTCCAACAATCGATTTTTCTATATTCATCTTTTCCTTAAAACGTGGATGGCTGACTAATGGATCAATTACAACTAAATGTACATCTATACATATAAATAAAATTGGAGTGTATGTTTGCAATATTGAAATAACCGATTTTTACTACATGCATATGAATAAATACAGTACATACACCAATATAACATTTTTACAATTTTTGTCTGTCTGTCTGTTTGTTCCGGATAATCTCTGAAATGGCTGGACCGATTTTGACGGGACTTTTTTAGCAGGTAGCTGATCTAGTAAAGAGTAACTTAGGTTACTTTTATTTTAGACAAATAAAGTTAAATTCCACGCGGACATAGTCACGGGAACAGCTACATAAATATTTTATAAAGTTGATTATGGGATGGTGTATCCTAGACTAACGGTATACACTGGCGGGGTACCAGTAGAAGATATACAAAGGATAACGACGAAGTCTAATCAGGTAGCCCCTGATGGTACACTGACCAGTAACTAATACTTAGGTACAGTATTTGATGGCACATTCCCTTGTTGTAATAAACATTGTAAGAACGGAATTAACGAAGAATGATGTGGTGATAGGTTAACTAGAACCACGTGTAACTACTTATTTATTATCATTATTACAATGTATAATAACAAAAATAATGTTTGCTTATTCACAATAATATCGAAGTTGAAAATGATTGGCCGTAATCTAAAAATTCTTAAGTTTCTTGAACAGAATTAAACGTACACACGTGCGCTGTACATGTACAAATACATAATTGTATACGTACAAAAAAATCTTGAAAGATATGACGGTCCTATCATTATTCGGAGTCGTGTTTATTAGTCAAGCATCCACGTTTTTAACTCATCAATAATGGTTGTGTACCCACATAACGTCATAAGGAAAACAGCAATACTGACGGAATACTCAGGAGTACAATTAAATTATCGATTTTAAGTATTATATGTAAATTAGCTTTATACAAAACAAGGGCTATTTGATATGACGCTATATAATAAGTATAGGTCGCGATGTGATGATAATGGTAATTAGAATCTACTATTTTTTTAACATACATCATAAAAAAGATGAATAATACCGATAGATAATCTATTCCTTACCAAATATATTCAGCAACTGTCAATATAAAGTAATTAACTCTCTCTGTGCCATACTAATTATTTACTTTATCTCGTCCTTCGAGCCGGATAACTTTTAGTTTGAGATCATTACTCATTTTCACATTTACGTGTTTTTGATAAACTTCTGTTAAGTGACATTATATAATAAATATATATATAATAATAATATTAATTTATTTTAATACAATTACATATAACATATAGACTGTGACATCTGTGCCAGAAATCACTGTATTACAGATGCTTGGTATAGTATAATAGTTAAATATAGTTCAACAGCGTCATATCAATCGCCTTATCTAATAACAGTGCTAAAGCCTCATTCATTACAGCTATAAATAGCGCTTCAATACAACAATCAAATTGTTATTAATATTACGTACGTTACGTATACCTACGTTTTTTTCTGATTGTTACAGCATTTGTGCTACTACAAATTGTAAAAGTACCTCTGTTACAAACATTTCAATAAATGCAATAAATTAAGCGATACATTTAAAAATAAATGCTTTAATTTTGAAGTTAAGAAAGTATTACCCTACAACACACCCCGTGTTGTAGGGTAATACTGGCTATCAAAATCGCTGGTAGAAGAAATGAAAGTCACCAAAATTGTAAATGACAAGTTGCTTGTGAAGTAGTGCTACAGTGATGAATTTTTATTTATTTATTTACATATACATATATATCACATATATGTGAATGGTTTTATAAACTTACCTATATAGCAATATCATTGTATCTATATTATTACATATTATATTTCTTACTAAATAAATTTAAATATTATACGTCTCTTAGATCACGCCTAACGCTTTACAAACTCGATCCGCCGTCATCCCCGATGTACGGATGAAGGTATAACAGAGTCCACTAGTGCATCTAACAATGTAGCTTGCATAACTTGTACTGAAATAATATAATAGGAATAACCTTTGTTGAAATTAACTTAATTTTAAACACTTGATGTATTTAATTAAGATATTTTTCTTGACGATCCTCTATCCAATATGACAACATATTCGAAAGTTGATCGAAAAAGTGACTTTATATGACAAAGGGTAGGGCAGGTCCTAAATTTCGTGACGTCACATTCGAAAATCTAACGTCTAAGAATTAAAACAAGTCTTAACTCACTCACTGTCTCTCTCTTTCTCTCTCTCTTTATAGTTATATATCCTACATGTTGTTGTAATCAACTTTCCTTGTTTTTCTCCTCCACTTTACCTTATCCCAGATATCGTCCTAAGAGACCCCGCACTCCATCTTCTCTATAGCAATGACATCCCTTCCTTGGTCTGCCTCAGCATCTTCTGAAGGAATTCTCATTCAACTGGGGAAGTAAAGCTGCAGAGCCAATTAAACGATTAATACGTCTATAATATTCAATATAATTGAAAAATATGTGACTGCGCACTAGGGAGGCGGGGTGTCTTACAAATGTGACGAACTGTGACAAGGATGGGGAGGGGACAAGATATCATAAACAGGTTTCAACTCAAGTTATGCAAGAGAAGCACGTTTTCTCTAAATACCGCCATACTATGTAACTTTTAAGATAATCCGATAGTGCACTTATTAATAAATAGTTCCAAATCGAAGCTTAAATATTGAACTTTAGGATTTATAGAATAAGGACCATTGCGTTTGTGAGGCAACGTGTTATTGCCTGATAGTGCGTAAAACGGCTTAAATTTCTCATTGTATTTTGATAATATTTAATACTAGCTGTGCTAGCGGTTTAACTCGCGTGAAATTTATAGCCTATATGTTATTCTGATGTATAATCTATATTACTGTAAAGTTCATCAAAATCGTTCAGTAGTTTTTGCGTGAAAGAGTAACAAACATCCATCTATACTCACAAACTTTCCGCGTTTATAATATTAATAAGATTAGTCCAAGCTACACGTTAAGAGATACCCTCATCAGTTATTCGACAATGACAATGTTTATATATTAACTAATATGTCAATATTAAATTAAAATTTTAAATCCAGGGCTTAATGTGTCAAATGATACATTTTTACTATTTTATTTAAACTCTTCCCTCATTTGTTATTCATCAAAATCATGCATAAGTCTAAAGAATATTACACAATGAATTGAAAAAATATAGAATATTAATTTCATTAATTTTGTGTAAAATTTCATTGTCATTATCGCATAACGGATAAGGATATATCTTAAGACGTATCTTCTTCTTTATAGTAGGTACTAACACAATTACTATGAATAATTGTCAGCAACGTTACACAATAATAAGGCCTCGTGCTTTATTTTCCGGATAATTTACGCAAGGTAATGTTAATTAAAGAACTATGATTATGTATGCTTGCGGGGAAATAAATTTATATTGTGATATAATTGAGAAAATTCAGAAATTCATTAACCATTTAGATTGTGTTTCAAATTATTTCAATATTTTCAATTTTTGCTATACAATACAGTACAAATACAAGAATACTATAAATACAAATTACAGTCCTTGGTGAAATTATTTGGCGCAGTACAAATTTTAACATTAAATGTTATAATGTAATTTTCATTAAAATAAATTTTTAAATTATATATAAAATATAATTTTTATTGTTATTTTAATTATAAAATAAAATCTTTTCATACATATCCTCAATGTTTTCAATTGTAAACGGCAGGGAGTATAGTTCAATACTGTATTTTAATGCAAAGATGTAAGGTATAGTTTTATAAAAATATGCTTCATAAGGCTTTTTCTCATATTTGAATCCATAGCAGGAGCTGAGTCTATAGCTGTATAAATAGAATAAAATTAATATTATCAATATACTAATGAGAATATAGTATTTTGAGCTTCATTCACATAGTTTACTAGAGTTAAATGTATAATTCTTGTTATAATGCACTTTTATTGATTAGTTTTACGGACCAAGATTTATGACTCGATACATATACATCCAGATTTTAATCAATTGATTAATAAAGATTAATAAACGAAAGTTCAAAAGTTGAAGTGTATAAAATGGTAACTCAAATAAATGATGTTTAAAAATCTAGATGAAAATGTGTCGAAGAGTATTATTATAGAAATAGTTTTCTGCTAATATATATCAATTATTCAAAATATACAAGGCTTTTTATTTCCCAAAACTGACTGTATATATGGATCGTGCATACGTCTGCGCTAATGTTTTACGCTGGCGCGGCAGAACTGGAGGATGATACTCATTATCGTCAACACAGATCAATTAGCCCAATGTGGCATTTTCACCGGGAATTTATCACAATAGTTTCCATGGCGGAACCCCGTGGACCTGACCTGATATTCATGAATATGATTGTTTGTGTCGGTCTGGGTGTTCTCTATGTATTTTATGTATGTATTAAAAAAAGTATATATGTATTTATATCAGTTGCCTAGTACCTATAACATAAGCTCTGCTTAGCTTGGGATTAGATGACGCTGTGTGAATTGTCCAGGGATCTTTTTATGGATGATAATGGTATGATTCACCCGCCTGTGCTAACGGATTATACTGGCGGGGCAGCAGTGACGGATGATAGAAAAAGCCAGTCAGGCCAGTTAGCCCATCGTGGTAAATTCACAATGAATTTATCACGATGGTTTCCAAGAGGAACCGCGTGGAGGTCGACCTAACATGGTACATTGCTAGCAATGGGCATTACTAGTTAGTTCCCATTACTGATTGTTAGTAATGGGAACTAACTAGTAATGCCCATCCTTCCCCCCTATCCAGGGATATTATTATTAATATATATTTTCAAAAGTTAATAAAAAAAATACAAAGAATATCGAATAATATTACTTTATTTTGATCACAGTCGAGTATAAATTACTACTTACATTATTGTTGTCATAAAAAATTAATAGCTATACAAGTAAATAGCTTTGTTAGTAAAATTGTAGTGAATAGGAAACAGTAGTGATTTTTTTTGTTATTTTTATTTTTTAATTTATGCTGTCGTCTAAATTCAAAATGGACCGCTCTTGTATCATGGTGGAATGCTGCGTAAGAGTCATGCGGAACTTAAGCTCTTCATCAGAGATAAGATGTTGCTTCATGATTGGACTGCGGTTACCGCAGCCGGCGACTGAAACGATAATTTTTTTTATATAAAATACTGCTATATTAAGACGAATAAAAATTATCTGAGGTTTTGGCTTTCAAGGTTTTAATAAAGACAACTTTATTTAAGCTTTTGTTGATTGTGTTAAAGCTGCTTTCTGTTTGCTTTGGGAGAAGTGGAAATTTTGTACTTAAATTTAAATGAAACGACGTTTTTGTCTTCGCAGTTGTATTTTGGCGACTGATTGTAATGTACACAAACGGTGGCCGGCCGGCAGAAACACACATAACTGTAACTGCGGTCCGATATAGACCAACCACCTTTATTTCACAAACATAAGTATGGAAGGAATATTAGTATATCGAATATATAAAATTCTCGTATTACAGTGTTTGAAACAAAACTCCTCAGAAACTTAAGCAATTCCTATGAATTTTTATGGTCAGTAGATCTGAGAATAAAAAAAATTGGGTTGGACCACCATTATCACTTAAGTGTATGAAAAATAGGGTTCAAGCTATTCTTCATAAACCTAACTAATAAAGATGGCCAACCAATTATTTTTCTTTTCAAGTTATGGATTTTTTTTTAATACATGATTTGATATTGAAATATACATACAACTACCATCTTTCATTTACCATAAACTCCTATTTTTAATAGCAATATTAGTGCTTTAGTTTATATACCAAAACAACATTTGCAGCAAATATTGCCATATAAATTAGTCAGCTAGTACTAATATAAAATACATAGATACCTGGGCACTTGGTTTTATTATTCCTGATAATTAAGTTCATAATGGCGTCCTTTTCATATATGTGACCACAAACTGTATTCTTAACGGGATCAACTATAGGTTTCTTTGTTATTGGATCAATCTGGAAGTATAGTTAACATATATTTTTAATTGAAATCATCTTTATTATTTGAATAATGCTTATTTATATCCAAGGGCTACTTGGACATAAATAACCATTATTCGAATAAACTTAATGTAAGCATTTTTTAATAGTCTTTTTTTATTTTACCACTATTTTTTAAATGCAGGCTCATGATAAGAAACATGTGAAAAAAAATTATGTACGTAACAGAGAAGTAAAAATTTCAATCTACATATTCGGAATCTAGATAAGGAATTATAAATTGAATTAAAGTGTAATCTCATGAAGATAGTTTTTAAGCTATTCTTTTAGTTAGTTACAAAAACTAAATAACTACTAATAAATAAATTATTATTAATATTATTATAAATAACTTACATATTGGTCCTGTGTTTCAGTAATAGCTATATCGGATTCATCTAGATTCTCTGTAAAAAAAAACTTATATAAATCTAATCTTATGAGGCTGCTGATGTCTCAATTTCAAAATAGAAATTGGACAGTTTTAATTGGTATATTATTAATTTAATATTAAATCTGTAACAATGATTATGTCTTGTGGCAACTGTGGTTTGTATGGTTTTGTGACACATTGATTCAAACTACCAGAATCATCTTTAGCACCAGTCATACCTTGCCAAGGTATGACTGGTGCTAAAGATGATGCAGTTTATAAGCTATTTTCACCATCAAGTAGATCTGATTGTCTAACTTTCCAGTTACATAAAAAAAAAGTAACAGCTATACTGGTTTATGAATTGAGACCTCTGAGAGTCGATTCTCTGTCAACTCCAAGGTGCTAGTGAATATAAGATACTTACGTCTGGCAGCCTGCTGTCCCTTGTCAAACCGTTTCTTCAGTTCCAACATGTATGGATGATTGTTTATATTTAGTCGCTTACTTGCAAGGCTGCTTAGGTGACTTTTAAACCTTTCCTGCAGTGTGTCCACATTTGATATGTCTGTTTCTCTCTGCAAAGGTGCATTGTCATTAATATATCTTCTTCTCTATTTGAAGGACTTCTGCCAAATGAGGTTGGTGATTTTGCCAATGTCAGCAGAGGCAGATCTACCTAAGGGCTTTTTGGGCTGCAGCCCAGGGTCCCGAGGATACAAAAGCCCCCAGTCCCCACTTATATATATAAACAATATTTAGAATATAAAAAAAACATCTAGAATGTTAAAAAACCTATCATAAGGTTGCCAACCCTGAGATCACTCAACCCATGCAATGGCGCGTCTAAAGAAAGGAATGAGAAATCTCTAGTCGGTGTATTTTTTTAGATAAATAATATAATTATAGGCCCCTAAACAGATTTAGCCCAGGCCCTCACAAATTCATGATCCGCCACTGAATGTCAGGATTAGGGAGACAGAGTGGTGTGGTTTACAAGTTCTATTGACTATATTAATTAAAGTTATGAGGGGGGAAGGGAATTATTAGTAATGTGTACTGATCACCCCATTGTTAACAATGTTGACCTCCGTGCGGTTCCCCTGGAAACCATCATAATAAATTACTGGTGAATTTACCTCAATGGGATAACTGACCTGAGCTTATGCTCATCCTATCATCCTCCCCTCATGCCAACGTAAACTGTTAGCGCAGGCCAGGAAATCATACCATTATCGTCCATTAAAAAAAAAAATTAAGTCAAGACTCAATTTTAATTTCCTTTTGATGAGAATGCTAAACAAGGACTACATAACATATGTTTTATTTTGCCTAGAACTATGTACAGTGCACCCATGCATTTATTGTCATACAACAGAATAACTTGTTTATTAATTTAATAAGTTCCCTAAACTATCCCTCAAAGAGTCAGCATGTGCTTCCTAACATTATTAAAGCTTGCTTGCTTTTTCAGTATTTCCAGTATTTTTCCTAGGGAGCAGAGTATCACCTTATATTTTAAGGATATTGTTGCTGACGTACTGGCTACATACTTGTATAATGTATTTTTTTATTTATTATTAAGAATTTTATTATATATTTTTGGATAGAGAACATTTTAGTATCTGATAAATATTGTGACAGAAAATAACAGATATATTGTAAGACATGTTGTAAATATATAAACAAAATAAGGGTTGTATAACCTACTTTTGCCTTTTCCAACGCCTGAATAGCAACATCTTCCTGCGCTTCTAATAGACAGTATTCACTAACGTAAGACTTGAGTTTGGCAAATTCGGATTCCTTTTCCTCATCTAAATATTTGCTCACATTGTCTGTACACAAATATAAGCTAGTTATACATTCTTTTCTCAATTTAGCTAAGTCCGTGTCTGCGTCAGCCATAATGATGCCAGGTACATTTAGCGGTTAGTTTTTTATTAAAAATATCGATCTATTTTGAATGAATAAATAATTTTTGATAGACTTTAAAGAAATATAGTCAAATGAATTAAATATAGATATTAAATATAATTCTTAAACTAGTAAATAAACTTAAGCAAGAAAAGAAAACATTACAAAAAAGGAACTGGCATTGACAACTGATAGATGACAGTTCGTAAATGTCAATATGTCTTTATTGGCTGTATGGGCATAGGTCCCTTTGCCGTTCCTTTAAAGGATAACTGATAATATAAAACTAAAAAAAAAGGATGTGATAAGAATAAAAAAAAAAGGTCTTTATATTGTTGAACAATTATTTATAAAGATCAACAAACATATTTCTTTCCAATAGCTGGTTTTTATTGTGATGAATATATTTCCAAATTAGGTAACATTAAAATATATGACTATTTAAAAAAGATTATATTAAGTTTATTTAAATAAAAAAATATTTCTATTTATTTATAAGTTTCGCCCTTCTTACCATTAACCGGGCAAAATAAATAAGTATACATCCATGTTGATTAAAATAGTTATTTAGATGAATTCGTTATATGACCCTATGTTTTTTTTTTTTTTAATTTAGGTATTAGGATAATAGATTCAATAAAATGCTACGGAATTAAATAATATTTTTTATTAATAGTAATATAAATGCAGTTTGTTATAACTATTCAAATAATAATCATCTTATAGTATTTTACAATATTAACATAAGTGATTAAAATATACAACAGTAAATAATATTTTCTAGAATATTTGCAGTGCATAGTTACAATTATACATTAGCATTAAACATTTCAAATAAGTAAATACAATATAAAACATGCAATTTTTTTTTTAATGTCAGTGCAAATAAATCGTAGTCTTACACATATGTCGACATTGAAACATAATACTACGATATACGCGACTCCTTCGTAACCACAAATGTGGATACTTCAATCTAATACTTGCAATTAATTAGGGTTAGTAAGACGAACTACATGTAGTCTACTAAGCACCGCACAAATGTGTCACCCCACCTTATATTTTTACTATTGTTATTTAGTGTATAAGATAGATATTTCAATGTCCATTTTGTCATGTCTCAACCGATAACATCGGGAGGAATGAGATTATTAGTATTGTGGACTAATAATGTACCATGTCAGGTACTCCACATGGTTCTTCCTAGAAACTATCGTGATAAATTCACCAAGGAAATGAACTAACTAAACTGACTTCACCATGTATTTATCACAATGAGTTAACTGACTTTACCTCATGTTCAGCTTATCATTCTCCACTGGTGCTTCGCCAGCGTAAACCGTTAGGGCAGGCGGGTGCACCATTCCATTATCATTCATAAGAACAACATTGTATTGTGGTGTGTACAATTCCACCAAATACCAGTTTGATTTCAAAAAGACTTGTATCCAGAGCCGTAAAACATAGTAAGTAAAAAAAAAATAGAGTGTGGGGGTTTTGGTGGAGTGTGGTTCAGACGGTGACGCCGACGTGTCCTAGCGCGGCTGCGAGGCGGTCCTGGTGCGCGCGCATGTCTGCGGCCGACAGCCCGAGCCGGGTGCCGATCACTTTGAACGCGTTCAGGTACTGCAGCTCCGTAAACTGGGCGCCTTTTTCGCGTATCGAGCTTATTATTTCCTGGACATAATAAATAGAATGGAATATTGTCTATTCTATTTCTATATTATTTTTTATACAAAAATTTACAGAGTATCTTAACTTCGTTAAACCTTTGTTAAGAGCTTATTATAAAATTGAAGAGTTTGTAAAAGATAAACTTTTTGAAAATTAAAAAATTAAAATTAATAATTATAGTTGACAATATTATTTGATTGCACAATAAAAGAGTATGTTCTATGTTGATTATCGTAAGCCTCTTGTTAATGTGTAGCCATTTCAAATAACATTTATTTAAAAGAGCAATACATAAGTTGCTTTTTCATTCTTCTGGTGATGACTTTGCTTTCCATGGTAGAATAAAAAAATATATATGTGTGTCTACTTATTTTTATAAATTTATATTAATTATTTATTACTAAGTACTACAGGATACAGACCCCAATGATCTGTTGTTAAATGTTTGGAGCACGTCGTGGAGTGTGCACCGAAGGGTGTACATATTTGCGGACCACAGGGATCCCAATGACCCGTTGTTAATGTCTGTTTGTCTGTCCGTGTGCGAGGCAGTGCCGCAGGGTCGCCATCAATGAGCCGTCGTCGATGTCTGTCCGTGGTCCGTGTGTGTGTCCGTACCTGCGGCGTGCAGGCCAGCAGGTGCAGGTAGGCGTGCGCCCGGTGCAGCCCGTCGTGCGGCAGCTGCAGCGCGGCGAGGCAGAGCCGCAGGGTCGCCATCAATGAGCCGTCGTCGATGTCTGTCCGTGGTCCGTGTGTGTGTCCGTACCTGCGGCGTGCAGGCCAGCAGGTGCAGGTAGGCGTGCGCCCGGTGCAGCCCGTCGTGCGGCAGCTGCAGCGCGGCGAGGCAGAGCCGCAGGGTCGCCATCAATGAGCCGTCGTCGATGTCTGTCCGTGGTCCGTGTGTGTGTCCGTACCTGCGGCGTGCAGGCCAGCAGGTGCAGGTAGGCGTGCGCCCGGTGCAGCCCGTCGTGCGGCAGCTGCAGCGCGGCGAGGCAGAGCCGCAGGGTCGCCATCAATGAGCCGTCGTCGATGTCTGTCCGTGGTCCGTGTGTGTGTCCGTACCTGCGGCGTGCAGGCCAGCAGGTGCAGGTAGGCGTGCGCCCCAGCTGCAGCACGTCGTGCGGCAGCTGCAGCGCGGCGAGGCAGAGCCGCAGGGTCGCCATCAATGAGCCGTCGTCGATGTCTGTCCGTGGTCCGTGTGTGTGTCCGTACCTGCGGCGTGCAGGCCAGCAGGTGCAGGTAGGCGTGCGCCCGGTGCAGCCCGTCGTGCGGCAGCTGCAGCGCGGCGACAAGGCAGAGCCGCAGGGTCGCCATCAATGAGCCGTCGTCGATGTCTGTCCGTGGTCCGTGTGTGTGTCCGTACCTGCGGCGTGCAGGCCAGCAGGTGCAGGTAGGCGTGCGCCCGGTGCAGCCCGTCGTGCGGCAGCTGCAGCGCGGCGAGGCAGAGCCGCAGGGTCGCCATCAATGAGCCGTCGTCGATGTCTGTCCGTGGTCCGTGTGTGTGTCCGTACCTGCGGCGTGCAGGCCAGCAGGTGCAGGTAGGCGTGCGCCCGGTGCAGGTAGGCGTGCGCCCGGTGCAGCCCGTCGTGCGGCAGCTGCAGCGCGGCGAGGCAGAGCCGCAGGGTCGCCATCAATGAGCCGTCGTCGATGTCTGTCCGTGGTCCGTGTGTGTGTCCGTACCTGCGGCGTGCAGGCCAGCAGGTGCAGGTAGGCGTGCGCCCGGTGCAGCCCGTCGTGCGGCAGCTGCAGCGCGGCGAGGCAGAGCCGCAGGGTCGCCATCAATGAGCCGTCGTCGATGTCTGTCCGTGGTCCGTGTGTGTGTCCGTACCTGCGGCGTGCAGGCCAGCAGGTGCAGGTAGGCGTGCGCCCGGTGCAGCCCGTCGTGCGGCAGCTGCAGCGCGGCGAGGCAGAGCCGCAGGGTCGCCATCAATGAGCCGTCGTCGATGTCTGTCCGTGGTCCGTGTGTGTGTCCGTACCTGCGGCGTGCAGGCCAGCAGGTGCAGGTAGGCGTGCGCCCGGTGCAGCCCGTCGTGCGGCAGCTGCAGCGCGGCGAGGCAGAGCCGCAGGGTCGCCATCAATGAGCCGTCGTCGATGTCTGTCCGTGGTCCGTGTGTGTGTCCGTACCTGCGGCGTGCAGGCCAGCAGGTGCAGGTAGGCGTGCGCCCGGTGCAGCCCGTCGTGCGGCAGCTGCAGCGCGGCGAGGCAGTGCCGCAGGGTCGCGAGGCGCGCGCCGGCCGCGGCCGCCGCCTCCTCCCCCTGCCAGCGCCACACCACCGCCGCAGACATCATCTCGCCCACGCCGTCCATTATGTACTGATCACGATACAATATACTCGTTATATAATATTTATAACGAATGCGTGCGTGCGGGCGCGTAACTGACACTAGTCATCCGCATTTTTCTAGAACGGTAAAGATTGGGGTCTCGGGACGAACTCCTTTGCCCTAGCATTATGGCGGTAACAAACCCTGGGTAACGGGATTACGAGCCTCTCAGGACGAGTTACTTAAAAAAATAACTTAAGCTAGGGACATAACTTCATAACGGTAAATATAAGGACGGTCCCTGCAAAGTAGGCACGTGAGAGGGCAGTATAGCAAAGGAGATGAAGGACATCTTGGAGTTTTTAGTGAATAGGAGTCTAACACTACCCGTTTGCCTCTCCCGGTGTGGGCAGGTCTCCATGAGGGATTTTCTTCAAGTAAAAAAAAGACATGATTCAAGCCGTAAGTAGAGAGCACAATGATGTCCTCGGAGAGATTCGGGGACGCGGGGCATCGAACGATGTAACCGTTGCTGTAGCTCTTATCGTCACTCAGATTTACGGACACATTCTAGCGGAATAGCGACCGCACGCGGATTTTTATATTTATTAAAATATAAGCGTTCGGTAGTATTAATATCGGGCTAGAATTTTGTAATCCAGTAATAAATCAGGTTGGAGATCGTTCACAGTCTACTCTTTTACTTCTTTACCCCACAAATACATAACTCGATAAGAAAACTTACAATTAAACTAAACTTAACCTAAGAAACGCTATATTTAGGAACATTTTGTTGGGTACGTACCGCGAGCATGTGCGGCGCGAGCACGGGCGCGGCGAGCTCGTGGAAGGCGAGCAGGGCGTGCGCGAGGCGGTCGGCGGCGCGGCCCGCGGCCCCCTCCCCGCCGCTGCCCGCGCCCCCGCCCCCGCCCGCGCCCCCCTCGCCCGCCGCCGCCCCGCCGCGCTCCTCCTGCCCGAGGTAGTGTACGCACGCGATGCGCATCTGTACGTACGCACGAACATTTCAAATTTTACCCACGGCGACGTTTGCGTGTTACGATCGTTGTCGTATCACGTAAACATTACATCAAATCAAAAATAGTTTATTCACGTAGGACATTTAAGCCGAAGTATTTTTATTTCATATACATATACATTTGTGAAACAATTAAAACTAAATCTTATACCTTAAATAGTTTCGCCAATGTATCGGTGAGATTTCGTACTAAATATATACGAAGTATTCCTTCCGAATATTAAAATATCAGAGTTTTTTTTTGTACTAGATGATGGTAAACAAACATACGGCTCATCTGACTTTACCGTAGCCTATGGACGCCTGAAACAGCAGGGACCCGGTTGCAGACCCTTACAAAACTTTAATATACTGCCATGTACTCTTACCTCTAGATGCAAGAAGAGCAGGCACTTGTGCGATATCTCCTCAAAGACTAAGGCAGTCGAGTTGATATCATTGATGAATTTATCGGTCAGCTTTATAGAGCCGCTGGAGCCGGGCGACGGTCCGCTCAATAACGATGGTATCGTCTTTACGTTCGTGCATAACCAGTCCTGAGAATAAGAAACTATTTTTACACCACGAAATTTTAAAACTTAAACCACTGTTAAGTAAGCGTTAGTAGTAGTTTGTAAATTAGTATATAAATCAGTGTTAAATTTATTTTGAGGTAACTCCAGAAAATTCTTCAGTCTTATTGTAGTACTTGTAGCACTTGGATAAATTATGAGAGCACACACTATTATGTGTGTGATTTCTTGCCGTCACCGGCGTGTCCGAGCATGACTGCTGACACCGGTACACGTGAGACTGTTGTGTTAGTACCATGGTGGCGGCGAGCAGCGCGAGGTCTGCGAGCTGGCCCACGTGCGCGACGATCTCTCGCCGCGTCACCGCGCCGTCGCCCAGCGTCGACACCAGCGTGTCCGCCTCGCGCGAGTACGACTCCTTTAACTCCTGAACAAATAACAATACATTACCTATATAATATTCACTACTTTTGTATTATACCACAAACTCATCTTACAATATATATTTTTTTCGCATATGTCCATATAAACAATTGTAGTGTTACAAATGTTAGTGGTTTATGAATTGTTTCAACACATAAACAGTATACCCTTAGTCCTATAATGAATTTCAGCACAACAAAAGGTACCTGCGCGTCGACATTGTCCCTGGCGTGCGCCGCACGCGTCGTCAACGCGCGCCAGTTGGGCAGCGACTGCAGGAACCGCACGATGTCGTCGTCGGCGAGCCAGCGGGCGGCGCGGGAGGGCGGCGCGGGCGCGGGGGGCGCGGCGGGGGCGAGCGCGGGCGCGAGGCGCGGCGGCGCGGCGCGGCAGTGCGCCGCCAGCGCGCCCGCCGCCGCCAGCGGGGCCGCCAGCGCGCCGCCGCCGCACCGCCGCGCCGCGCCGCACGCCGCCCACGTGGCGCGCCACGCGCCCGCGCAGCACGCGAACACCGCCGGGTACGAGAACCTGCGACCACATTCTCTTGTAAAGCTAAAGCGCCTACTATTTTTTTCTACGCTAATATTTTGTTTCATATATTTTTGTAGTTTTTATTAAGTTTAAACATGAAAGTCGTACAAGTAACGTTGCGTCTTAAATTTCATTATTCCTGATGATTCGATGTGATTAGTCCAGAAAACCCTCGTATCAAGCTCCAGCCAATTGTGGCTTAAAATTAAAAATGGCCCTTATGTAATGTATAAGTCTGCTAATCGTAACGCTATGATTTTGTCGGCGTCGGCCGTGGTCCGAGTGTACTCACCGGGCGGGCGAGGCCGGGGGCGGCGCGGGCCCGAGGGCGGGGGGCGGGGCGCGCTCCCTCCAGGCGGCGGGCGCGCACATGGCGGCGTCGATGGCGGCGCGCGCCGTCGCCGCCAGCCGCTCCGCCTCGCACCACCGCACGTAGTCCGACAGGAACGCGCGCAGGGAGCACTCGCCACCCCTACACGCCCACAAACAAGTGAATTAAATAATAATAAAAAAAAACAATTACACACGCCAGTATTTGCAAAAGGATATATACCAAGCACGATTTACGTATAGCCGAATCGTAGTATGTTCCCCTAGAAGAGACGGGGGTCAATTCACACATCACTGAGTTTCAGATAATGTGATTAGGCAGTAAAATCATTGGACAGAAGTACTCTGTCCAATTATTGTTACAACAAAGTTTGAAAAGAGTAGTACTTTGAAAAGGTAAGATAAGGTTTCAAAATTGTCACATGATAACGTAATGCCTGGTAGTACTATTCATGTACACGACAATTACCACTTACCATCAAGTAAGCTGCAACTTGACATTCCAATTACATAAAAACCCCTAACAAACTTCATATATAACGGGTACACCTGGTACATACCCGGCGAGCGACTCGATGTGCGCACAGAGCGCGTGGAGCGGCCGCAGCACGGCGTACAGCAGCGCGGGCTCCGCGCGACACACCACGGGCCCGCGGCGGCGTGACGTCACCAGCACGCTCACTTCGCTCGTAGCTGCGTACGCAATTCAAAATAAGGTTCTTATACTGTTCAACACTCGTAAAGTTTTGTCGATATATGAAGCGGTGTATAAAATACGCGTGCATTATAAACGTAAATAGTAAAATTATATATCACCACACTATTAGTGTTTTTTTAATTAAATATGAATATCATCGTCGTGAGTATTCGGCTAGTACGTAGTGCTCAGTAAAAAAGTAAAACGGCGGGAAAGCAACCGTGTGCATCACGGTTTTATGGTTGAGTTTATTACAAATCAAGCATGTTGAAAAATATCATTCGACATTTGTTTAAAAGAAACCATTAAACGGCGTCTTTATCATTGTTAGTTCCTTAGTTACCGTTGTTGATTTTCTATCGTAAAAAAGCAACCGATCATTGTACATTTGAATTGAAATAAATTTAATTTTTGAACATGAATAGTGTTTAACGTACTAAATATATTTTTCATTATTTCTTTCACATATTCAACACATTCAGCTCTATTATGTCCTCGCCTTCGACTCGGTCTGAAATTTTGCTTCAATCCACTAGTCAAATTACAATAAGTAATTAACCTACAAGCGGAGGGGAAGGAGATTGTTAGTAATGAAAATTGATAATCCCTAGCAATGTACCATATCAACGTACTCTCCACGCGGTTCCCCCTGGAAACCATCATGCGAATTTGTCACGATGGGCTAACTGACCTCATGTTCATCTTATTATCCTCCGCTGGTGCTCCGCCAGCGTAAGCCGTTAGCACAGGCGACGGTACATTCCATTATCGACCCTCAAGAAAGTAACCTGCAAGCTTGAATAGTTTGTGTCGCCGGCGCTGCGGCCGCTTGCGTGCGAAGTAGTCGGCGAGGCGCGGGTCGGGGGCGGCCGCGGGGGGCGCGGGGCCCGCCGCGCCGCCCCCCGCCCCGCCCCCCGCCCCGCCGCCCCCTCCGCGCCCCGCGCGCGCCTCCGCCAGCCGCACGCTCTCGATGTCCAGGTACTCCGTCACCAGCAACTGCAGCTGCGCACGACACAAATATCAGCGTTATTATGTATTCACTTAGAAAATAGTAACAGTACTGTATGCACTTTTCATATTTTTGCAACATTGATTATTGCTCCTGTTGATTGTAGCCTATAGCCTTTTTCGATAAATGAGCTATCTATATTATCCAACACATCCAGCTCATTTATTGAAGATTATTATACAATTTTTTTTTAAAAACAAAATCAGTAAAATTACTATAAAAAATTATAGAAAAATTACTAACAACTTGCTGCACTGCACTCCAATAATGTTGTTCTGTGTGCAAGCTAGCATCGGATAAATGATATTTCTGTAGTGCCGCTCGCCATAGTTGCAGAAGCCTGTAAAATCATTATATTAATACATAAAACAAAAACCTTTTAGGGCTTGATGATGCATGACACAAAGGCGAAATAGAGTAAAATAACAATACACTGATGTCCTTAAGAGGAAAAGAGAGCGATAACAAGACATGGAAAGACAAGCTACAGTTAACTGTGACCATGCAATGGAAAAGTTACAAATGATAGAAACTAATGGCAGGTAGAAAATCTGAAGAAGGTGTCAAAAGAAACTGAATTCAGACTCTAAATATAAAAAAAAAATTAAAAAGGCTCAGGCTCAAAAATTAAATTAGAAAAGAACCTGAGCTGCATTACTAGCATATCATAATCTAGAAAGTGAGATGGTTACACTGTCATATTTCATAAATTAATAATAATAATTTATTTATTTCAACAAATAATTAAATTTATACATACCTTTTATTTCTTGCAGCACATTCCCTAAACTCCTCATTCAAGCTGGTCATTAGTCTAGCCAACGGTCGCCCCATCTCTGTCACACTGTCCGTGTCGGGTATCTCGCCGTCTTCTTCACCCTCAATGTCCACTTCCACGTCGCCTTCTTCGATTATACGACGTGTCACTGTATCGATCACTTCCAAGAGTTCATTTTGGATTTGCACTTTGAATTTCTGGAAATTAAAAAAACTTCACCTATAGACAACTATATTAACAAAAACAGATTATAACAATAATAATGAGTACCATGAGCTGTAATTAATTAAAGAAAAAAGAGGTTCCTACAACAGGAACAGGTTCCTTGTAGGGTCTGCTGTGATAACTATGACATTTATTTTGTTACCACGGGTAGTTTCATATACTTGCGGCTTAGTATACCTTTTCTGACTAATGCTGTGAAATAAAGATAAACAGATGTTAGGGAAACTACTCTGCTACCAAAATGTTAGGGAATTTACTCTCTGTATATATATAGGGGAATTTAGTGGGGAAGCGTCAGTCACGTACCTTTATGGTTCTGCGGATTTCTTGGGCTTCAGGGTCTCGAAGATATCTTCGCTAGCTTTCCAGTTTCACAGTAGGTTTAACACAGTTCTAATTAATTTTAATTCACAACACAATGCGCGCGCGTCATGGCCGCCGTACAGTCCGTTCAGTACTTGGTAAGGGAGGGGAAGGGAAGCCGCGGGAACACAAACTAACGGACTCTAATATAATAATCTGTGCTTACGATGTTACAGGGTAGATTTTGAACACAGATTTTAATTAAAAATCTTACTTCTGTAGCTTCCTTCAGCTGATCGAGTACACCTATCGCCTCTAACGATATCATCACCGTGGTTTCGAACGTTTTATCTTCTTCAGACAAAGATGCTTCGAATTCCGGAGTAATGTCTTGAAGGTACTCGTCTGTTACTTCTTCGCTTTTTGTAAGCTCTGCCAATAATGTGTTTAATTATCTATTTATGCAATGAATTCTAGTATATTTCTGTGACTGTTTGCTTTATTTTCAGATCTGTTACAAAGAAAGTAAAAGAGAAAAGAGGAGGACGAGTTTATTGTATGTTTTGTAACTAAATTCAATTAAAATCATAACTGAAAACGAAACTATTTTAGTTTTCAGTTATAAGCAAATATAATAGCTTCATCAGTATATTACAGATATACAGAGTGTAGTCTCGTACACAGGCAAGAATACAGAGTGTTTGAAAATGTGTTTTCATGCAACATTTATTATATATATTATTAAATAATATATTGTTCATATTCAGTTTTAGGGGGCAGTGCATTCCGCAATATCAGTATTCTAGCGTGAAGGTCGTGGGTTCGATTCCTCGCATGGTGGAAACATTTGTATTTATAAGTATGATTGTTTGATATCAGTCGTGGAGTATACAAGTAAGACAGTGTAGCATATAGTGAGTGCAGGAGTGATGCAGTAACGCAATAGTGTAACAGAGCAGCAGCAGTGCAACAACAAAAAAAACTGTCCCTAAGTATGGCATTACGTTTAGTAAGCTAGTTTAAGTAGTTTTCTTTTTTTTTATGTATGCTTGCTCTGGAGGCTTTAAGCTAGCCACCCGGAGGTTGTTGCCCCCGGAGTAGGTACCGGGGCAAAGGGGTTCGCCCCGAGGCCCCGACCTTTATCTCCCTAGGAGAGTGTGGATGATCAGACAGTCGCAGCGGTGTATTAACCGTGGCAGTGCAACAGTGTCATAGTGCAGAAGCGATGAGTTAAGTGTGGCAGTGATACAGCACAGTAGTGCAAGTGTCACCGTATAGCAGCGGTGCAGTGTTTCAGTTACCTGCTAGAAGTGCAGCGGGGGCGGGGCGCGGCGCGGCGCGGGTGCCGTACACGGCCGCGCTGATGGCGCGCACTGCCGCTTCGACCACCTCCAGTTTCTTGCCCTGCCGACACAAATTAAGTTCAACGATCAACGCTCTACTAAACATATGGGGTTAACTGATACCCTCGGTGTCTTATGCGGCTATAGGCTATGGGAACCGTTTACCATTAGATCGTATGCATGTTTGCCAAGGTCGTAGAATAAAAAAAACTGTATTGGCCCGCAGCGCGTGCGTCACCAGCGTCGTGTCTCACCTGCAGGTGGTGGCGCGTGGCCGCGAGTGCGTGCACGTGTGCGAGCGTGGTGTCGGCGGCCTGCAGTGCGGCCCGCAGCGCGTGCGTCACCAGCGTCGTGTCTCACCTGCAGGTGGTGGCGCGTGGCCGCGAGTGCGTGCACGTGTGCGAGCGTGGTGTCGGCGGCCTGCAGTGCGGCCCGCAGCGCGTGCGTCACCAGCGTCGTGTCTCACCTGCAGGTGGTGGCGCGTGGCCGCGAGTGCGTGCACGTGTGCGAGCGTGGTGTCGGCGGCCTGCAGTGCGGCCCGCAGCGCGTGCGTCACCAGCGTCGTGTCTCACCTGCAGGTGGTGGCGCGTGGCCGCGAGTGCGCACGTGTGCGAGCGTGGTGTCGGCGGCCTGCAGTGCGGCCCGCAGCGCGTGCGTCACCAGCGTCGTGTCTCACCTGCAGGTGGTGGCGCGTGGCCGCGAGTGCGTGCACGTGTGCGAGCGTGGTGTCGGCGGCCTGCAGTGCGGCCCGCAGCGCGTGCGTCACCAGCGTCGTGTCTCACCTGCAGGTGGTGGCGCGTGGCCGCGAGTGCGTGCACGTGTGCGAGCGTGGTGTCGGCGGCCTGCAGTGCGGCCCGCAGCGCGTGCGTCACCAGCGTCGTGTCTCACCTGCAGGTGGTGGCGCGTGGCCGCGAGTGCGTGCACGTGTGCGAGCGTGGTGTCGGCGGCCTGCAGTGCGGCCCGCAGCGCGTGCGTCACCAGCGTCGTGTCTCACCTGCAGGTGGTGGCGCGTGGCCGCGAGTGCGTGCACGTGTGCGAGCGTGGTGTCGGCGGCCTGCAGTGCGGCCCGCAGCGCGTGCGTCACCAGCGTCGTGTCTCACCAGCAGGTGGTGGCGCGTGGCCGCGAGTGCGTGCACGTGTGCGAGCGTGGTGTCGGCGGCCTGCAGTGCGGCCCGCAGCGCGTGCGTCACCAGCGTCGTGTCTCACCTGCAGGTGGTGGCGCGTGGCCGCGAGTGCGTGCACGTGTGCGAGCGTGGTGTCGGCGGCCTGCAGTGCGGCCCGCAGCGCGTGCGTCACCAGCGTCGTGTCTCACCTGCAGGTGGTGGCGCGTGGCCGCGAGTGCGTGCACGTGTGCGAGCGTGGTGTCGGCGGCCTGCAGTGCGGCCCGCAGCGCGTGCGTCACCAGCGTCGTGTCTCACCTGCAGGTGGTGGCGCGTGGCCGCGAGTGCGTGCACGTGTGCGAGCGTGGTGTCGGCGTGCTGCAGAGCGGCCCTCAGAGCTGGCGTCACCACAGACGATACTCACCTGCAGGTGGTGGCGCGTCCGCGAGTGCGTGCACTGCGAGCGTGGTGTCGGCGGCCCGCAGCGCGTGCGTCACCAGCGTCGTGTCTCACCTGCAGGTGGTGGCGCGTGGCCGCGAGTGCGTGCACGTGTGCGAGCGTGGTGTCGGCGGCCTGCAGTGCGGCCCGCAGCGCGTGCGCCGCAGCCAACGGCCGGCCCGCTGCAACTTCAGCTCGCACCGAGCGCTCCGCTACTACCACGCGCTCGCTGCAACAATGGCGTGAGGCCGACATCCTGTACTCCACAACTATAAGTTGGGATCACGCACGATGTATAGCGCGGGAAAATCAATAAGCGCGATCGTGAATTAATTTTTTTTTTGAGTTCACTCTTCGCACGTGGTTGCGCGAGTGTTTTATGTCATTACAGTTTCTTCAAAATATTATTTTATATTCTACAGACTTGATACTCTAAAGACACATTTAAGATTTATTATTTTGAAAACCAACAGCAAATTGAAATAATAACAAATAATATGTTTTTAAAAACACAAACACTGCTATTGAGATTCAGATTAATCTTTTTTATAGTAGTAATTTTTAAAGTCCTTATATATTGATGTTGCATTTATCCACGAGTCTAGTTTATAAAATATAATTTTCAAATATTACTAAAGTAGAATATATATATACTGTTAAGTTCATTTACTTTCATTTATTGTAACAAGTAAATGAACAAATATTTCATCATTTACTCGATACAATAAATGAAAGTAAATGAACTTAACAGTATATATATATTCTACTTTTAAATTTAAAAATGTCACTGTAGTGAGTGGGTGGTAAAGGGTAAAAGAGAGGTGGGTGCGGTTACATGTCTGTGAGCATGTTGAGCGCGTGGTGGTGCGTGCGCGCGTCGGCCCAGAGTCGTCGCAGGTCGCGGCGCCGCAGCTGCAGCAGGCCGCCGCAGGCCGCCAGCCGCGCCCCGGCGCTGTCCCCGCGCCGCCCCCACGCCTGCAGCGCCGCGCCCACCGCGCTGAACTTCTGCTCGCCACGCGTCGTCCAAGATAAATTACATTTTTCAAAATTAGAAGTTGGAGTTGCCTCGGTTTATATGAGTCGATTAAATTATGTACACCGTCTTAATCGTTATCTAAATACTTCTAAAATTATATATTCTGTGTAAATTTAAAACTGTAAGGGAAAAATATTTTAAATAAATTTAAAAACTTTAAACGATTGTCTACAAGACAAAAATGTATTAGGTTGTTCGGAAAGTAATCTCGTTTTTTCCTAACTTAGAATTTAATTGTATTTTTTGCACTCAACTTCACACTTAAGCCGTATAATTTTTATATGCTTTGAGGGCTCATATAGCAAGGCTTGTGTGTGAAAAATTACAATTAATTCTATGCAGTAGTTTTTGGTTGGTGACCTTTTAAATATAGAGAGGAATAAGCAGCATTTTCGAAATATCTTATTTACTACAGAAAGGACAAAAATGCTGTTCAAGCCAGTAAGAAATTGACCGATGTGTGTGGAGAAGGTGTGTTAACAGTATGCGAGTGCCAGAACTGGTTCCTAAATTCGATCAATCGGATTCAATCCGGCAATTTTGATATCAGAAAGGCCGCTTGAAGCTGATAAAGGCTTTGGTTGATGCGAACTGGCAAATAACACAACAAGTGAGATCGGACTGAGGTTAAATTTATCAAATTTAATAATTTATGACCACTTGAAAAGCCTGGGATGTTATAAGTGTTGTTATTCGGTACACTATGCACTTAATCTCTGTTCAATCAAATAACATTGTCAGTTTTAAGTTAGATATGTTCTACAAAAACATTATTATCATATATAAATTCTTCAATTTTATAATAAGGTTTTTTACTAAGAAAATATTTTATGACACATTTGAATTTTTTTCTGACAAATTCAAAGAAATTTCTGGAAAATTCAAGACTGGGAGTTTGTTATAAAATATGATACCACTTCACTTCTGATGATGCACTATTAATTTGATAAAAATGCATCTCAAGGTTGTTAACTATTCATGCGTTAATCATGTGTTAATGTTCTATAGTTCTCAAAACAAAAACAATATGAGCTAAATACAATATTTTAATTAACCCACTTGCATAACATCCATGATCTCCTGTGCATGTATAGCCACCAGCTCATCGAGTCGGGCATCACTCTTCTTGTACTCTTTCTCCAATTTAGCTCTCTCTTTCTCTCTCTGCTCATTTGTTTCACTTGCAGATAATGTGCGAATAACTGACATCAACAAGCCACTCTAAAACGATAAATTGAGTTTTAAGAAAAAATAATGTTTAAGGATTGTTTTTATGTGTTACAATTGACAAGGTAGCTGATATCAAGCAGTAAATATAGGCTATATACAGAGGATTTTTGTTTTTTTAATTAATTAGGTCACCAACAAGGTTTACACCAACACAATTACATTACATTACATATAACATATTTAATATACTAAGCACAACCTTAATTACAGACTACTGCAGCTTCCAATTAAGAAAACATATGATGACACAAATATACTATTAAAAAAATATATATTTAGATTAAGATTGCCTTTGATCCTGTAATTTCACTGCCTTATCTGCCCCACAAACAAAACACAGCTCACAAAGAAAGCTGCATGGTATAGTAGTGGTAGCAGCAGAGTGAGAAAGCCACACAGATAACTCTTTATAGTCAGGGGAAAAGGGAATTGTTAGTAATGTGGATTGATGATCTTATTGCTATCAATGTACCATGTCAGTTTGACCTTCATGCTAAGAGGTAAATTCACCACTGGTGTCCCGCCAGCGTAAACCGATAGTCCAGGCGGATGCACCATCATATCATCCATGAAAAAATATGTTTACAGCCTACATGTGATAATTGGATCTGAATAAAGTAGTAAAAGGCAAACTTCTACAGATGCACCAGCCAGTAGTGATGGTTAATACTTACAGGGCACCAATGGAGGATGATAAAATAAGCATAAAGTTAGGTCAATTAGCGTAGAGTGGCCAAATTACAAGAAATTTATCATGATGGTTTCCAGGAAGAAAATAGCTGAGGTTAGAAATTTTAAATTTTAAATATAGTTTCATATATAAAGAAATTTTTTACCGTTTCTTTTCCCTGTTTTACACCCCGAGGGGGTTTAGTAGGGGGCGGTGAAGACATATTTAGTATGACGATGAAACAAATTAGTTAAACTAAAGTTACAACTTTATAAAGTAACTTTTTATACTTCGTTTTGATAACAATAAATAATAAGAAAATGGTATTTATTACAAATTTACTAAATTAAACAAAAACATTTATTTAAATTTTTACAGAAATAAACAAGAAAAATAATATTTATTTCCTTTTGTTGACAGCGGGCAAAAATTACTCTGTGCCGTTCGCTGACAGAAATGACATAGTGTCGTGAGATATGACAGTGCCAGCCTTTTCAGTACTTTATCAATACCAGCGTTAAATTTTGATAGTTTTCACAATGCTTAGTTCGACAGTGACCCCGATGGTACCACTTCATAACAATAAAAAAATTACAGTGTAAAAAAACTTCTGTAATATTGGGAGAAATATTCTACCTATATACAACTTAAATTGAAAAAAGTTGATCTTGGGATTATTAATATTTAAGTAATTATTGTTAGGCAGTGCTGATTCTTTTCCAAAAATGTCGATTTCTTAATCGATTCGAGGCGAAGTCTTAAACAAAAACAGATTTATTTTTTATTGTTCTATGAAAAAGAGGCGAAAGTAACGGAGTATGGAGTCACATCGCAAGTTTTTGAATTTAACATTAAAATAATTTTGTGGTTCTTGACAACAAAAATAAATTTTTGATTTCTATTTAGGGTGAAATGTCGGTTCACAGTTGTGTAACAATTTATAAAATATATTTTGTTGTTCGAAAGAATGCATTTTTCGTTTAACACGTCTCAGATCGCATCCCTAATTTTCATTCATTTCAGTCGTTCTTTTGTCAACAGTATCCGTCGTTATTTTGAAATCAAAATATTTTTTTTTCATATATCGTATTGAAACTTTTGTTCTTTTTATAGTTCTAAATACTAAAATAAGCAAATTAATATTAATAAACTTCGTAATATCACAATGGATTATTCAATTATAAGTAACAAAACCGGCTGTACCGAAATAGAAGATATAACCAACGGCGAATTATCCGAACGTTATTACTTACTCAAAAAACAATTTGAAAATGTATCTAGCAGCTATGAAGCGACAAAACAAGAACTGCACGATATTAGAAGGAGTTATCAGACCGCTCTGGACGTTCAAAGTCATTTGAACGCTGAATTGGAGAGCCATCAGGCAGACGAACAAAAGCGAAGAAATGAACTGAATTTTCGGTTGACATCTCTACAAGATGAGATATCATCATTGCATGAGGAAAGGTCGGATATATTGGATAAACATTCGGTGGAAGTTAAAAAGTTTCAGGGAGAAATTAAACGACTGAAGGAGGAACAAGCAATTGCTAATCAAAGACATAGTCCAGTTAAAGATACGAGCGAGCTTGACGAAGCCCGAGCTGCTGTGACCACTGCTCTATCTGATGCTGCTGCAGCAAAAGCAGCGCTTGAGGAAGCACGCGCAGAGATCATGTCGTGGAGGATGAGAGCTGAGGAGCTGTTAACAGAGATGTCTGAAGTGAAGGCGGCGTCTGATTTGCGCCGTGAGGAGTTGAAAGCCGCTGGAGAGCGCGAAGCGGCTACTTTGGCGGATCTAGCGGAAGCGAGAGCATTGCTGCATCAGTGCACTGATGCTCAGGATGTACAGCCACATGGTAAATATTATTATATTAATAAAAATATTATGTGTATATTTGTTGCAAAATATTATACACTACAAAATTTCATTAAAATTAGTGGTGTTGCAGATAATTTTTTAACAAACGATGTAATATGAGATTTTTATATGTATTAACAGATCCAGTACATATGCTGCAGTAGTTCCTTTTATTGGGTCTATTGTATTTCTCAAACCATCCAGGAACCTATAGAAATGTGCATACAAAATTTCATCAAAGTTGTTCTAGCCATTTAGGAGGTTGTAGGTGGCCAACTCACATACAGAAGAATTCTATATATTAACATTTTTTAAAACTAGTATAGTTCATATTTTTCATTACAATAAATATATTAAATGATTAATAATTCCAACATTATATTTAATATATTAAAATAACATTCAGGTAGAATTGAGAGATTCTCTTTTCCAAGATATAATCTAATTGAACATATTTTTTTTATATTTCGAATATTAGCATTCAATTGCAGACATTAATCTTTTTCATCATTTCAATTCCAGCTGCTAAAGGCAACTCCATATTCGCTGAAGTTGAAGACAAAAGGCAGGAGATGGCTAAGAATCTAATACAAATGAAACAGACCAACTCACGGGTAAATGTTTATAATTATTATCTCCTTATATATTAGAGATATGTTAAAAATGATGACAATGTGTAAAACTTTATAAATTATTGTAAAAGTAGTACTTAACAATGTTAATATTCTCTTTTACTAAAATATTTTTTCTTAAAAATATAATGAATTTTTAAAATATATTTAAATTATTTTAGTCATAGTACAAATATTAATTTTATATAAAAAATATTATTATGAACTTGACCCATTTGTTGTGACCAAGTTTTTTACTTATGGAATACAAATAATATTATTATAATCTAATGTTATTAATATCTAATATATACAATGGCTTTTATAAAGATTACTAGAGATTTAGATTCCATTTAATTTAATATTCACCATTCTTATAAATCATATTTAAATGCTATTGCAGTTAAGCATTGAGTCCAATTAATATAAACAGGTGTCTGTAGGCTATTGTAATGTAATTCTATAATTACCTACATGTAATATAATAAGGTTTTTTATGTTCAGTGTAATGAATCTCTAATTACATCATGGATTACTATAATTGGCTAAGATTAGTAAAATTATAAATTAGTAATATAAGCTATTGTTATCTTGAAATAAATAAATAAAAATGTAATCAGATGGGCAGTATGCTTTTTTTTGCCAACATCGTAGTATTTGTTTATAACAAATAATTTAATGCTGTTGCAGTTAAGGAGAGAGCTTGCAAACAAACAGGCAGAAGTGGACACATTGCTGCATGAGAAACAGACTATTTGGGAGCAGCAAATTGGGGCATCAGCACATTATGACAAGGAACTTATAGGTGAATATATTTATAAAGCTAATACAGCTTGTTGCTGTGAAAAAGGATGAAATTTTCATAGAATACCAGGTTAAAATGGTGCAGTCCAAGACCACATAGGTTCCAGTGTGTGGGTATGAATTCCCTGTTCATAGGGAGTGGTGTGATTATAAAAGGAAGTTGTAGGCATCATGTCAATTCTTTGTAATACAGTCCCTTATATAGATTACTAGCTACTCGCCCTGGTTTTGCCCGGGCGTACATGTATTATACATATATACCTTCCTCTAGAATCACTCTTATCTATTAAAAAAAACTGCTTCAAAATCCGTTGCGTAGTTTTAAAGGTTTAAGCATACATACATAGGGAATGACAGACAGCGACCATGACTTTGTTTTATATTATGTAATGATAAAGGTTATATACCCAATCTGGCATAATAGTCGCTAAGGTATATTTATATTTCACATTACAGATAGCTATGAAGAGCGCATCACGCAGCTGACAGGTCTTTGTGAGAGGCAGAGACGGGAGCTGGCACAGTGGTTTGGCAAATTATGTGAACCGACTGCTAATGGTTGGCTGCCTGGAGTGTTGGACCATCTAAAGTAAGTATTTTCTTAATGATTAGAATAGAATAGAAAGTTCTTTAATCAAATTAACTTAAAAATCTTCAAATATTAGGGACTGCTAGAAAATCATCTGAATATGTTAGGTAACAAATTGACGAGTGAAGTCCCCCACAGCATACCTTGCCTTAAGAAGTTACTAGAACTCAAAGGCTAATCAGGACCATCTATAGACGATAAATCTAGTGGGAACCACACTACATGCAACATAACTTATACTACATGTGCTGCTTCGTAAATGTGTTTGATCACAAGAACTAACAAGATACTAGCATATAACTCTTTTAAATATTTGTTACTACATTTTTAAGTTGAAATGTTTGAATCGAAACTACCAACTAGCACTAATTCTTAAATACACAATCATCTGGTTGACTAAGTATAAGAGTAAATCAGTTGTAATGATTAGAGCAGACCAGTCTCTACAAGCAGCACTTGTAGACGAGTGTCATCATGAGTGAGATACGTAAATAATACAAACCTTATCATACATTACCTTACAAACATTTTTCTACATAATTATTGTCCGCACCTTTTAGTTTCGTTACCTTGTCTATCTCTGTTTCAAAGAATGGAAAATAGAGATGATATTTTTTAAAATATCATCATGGAATAACTTGATAATTTCTATTTTTCAGATCAGAATGTGAACAGTTAAGAGCAGAAGTGCTGTCCCGTGGTGTCGCCCAACTCGCGAGCGCCGCGCAAATAAGAGAACTACGCAGGAAGCTCGCCGTCATGACCGCCAAAGAAGCAAAACAAGCCATCAGCTCACCTACTGAACCTAATGTCCAAGATGATAGGGAAGATATTAGCGCACCTAGAGTGCAAGTCAAAAGTAAACCTACTATTGACGATGTGAAGAAGAAAGTGTCCTTTAATTAATAATAATAATAATCCTGGACAATTCACACAGCGCCATCTAGGTAGAGTTTGTGTTATGGGTACAAGACGACTGATATATACATAGATGTTTTTGTAAATACATACATAATATACATAGAAAACACAGACCGATACAAACAATCATACTAATGAAAAATAAATGTTTGCACCATGCAAGGAATCGTACCTGCGACCGTCAGAAGTAAAGCAGTGTGCTAATCCTTTATATCAATGAGGCCGTCAAAAAATCGGTTTGAATTAATTGTAATTAAATATTATGTACATATTAATTTTGGTTTTTTATTTGCTGATCTGTATATTATTAAATGAAAATAAATACTACTTTTCTTTCCACGCACAACTGTATTGAGAATTGGAATCACCTTCCAGCAACGATATTCCTAACAAAAACGATATTGAAACCTTCAAGAAAAGTGCTTATTCCTTCCTAAATGGCTGGCAATGGACTTGCAATGTTTCTGGTGTTGTAGGTGCTCATAGGCGACTAAATACTTTCCGTCAAGTGAGCCGCAAGCTCATTTGTCTCCTATCTATACATATAAATAAAATTGGGAGTGTCTGTTTGTAATATTGAAATAACCGTTTTTAATACATGCATATGAATATAAATACGGTACATACACCAAAATAACATTTTAAAAATTTTTGTCTGTCTGTTCCGGCTAATCTCTAAAATGGCGGGACCGATTTTAACGGGACTTTCTGGCAGGTAGCTGATGTAATAAGGAGTAACTTTGGCTACTTTAATTTTAGAAAAAGTTAATATCCACGCGGACGAAGTCACGGGTACAGCTAGTGCTACAATAAATGTGCATTTAATAAAAAAATTGAATGAGTAAGATAGGCCGTATTTCAAGCAGATGATTTTGTAGAATACAACTAGTTTTATTGTAAAATAAAACAAACTATTATTATATACACAAAACACGATTTTAATAATAGAAACAATATCTATAATAGGAGAGAATACAATAATAATAATAATATCCCTGGACAATTTACACAACCCCATCCCAGTCTAAGCAGATCTTGTGTAACTAGAAAACTTATATAAATACATTTTTTTTTTGTAAATACATATACATAGAAATTACCAGGCCGATACAAGCAATAATATTCATGAATATAAATGTACCGTACGAGGAATCGAACCCGCGACCATTCGTAGTAAAGCGGTGTGTTAAATCGCTAGACCACCGAGACTATAACAATATACTAGCGACGAAAACTGCTAGTTGGACTACGACATTTAGTGTCAATTTGACACAGCTTCCTTTAAAGGTGGCGGACCCAAATCTCTGAGAGCATGTTCCCTAGCATGCGCGACGTGCCGCGACCGTCGAGCATGCTCGCGAGCATCCTTCTGAGTTCGCGCTCGTAGACGAGTTGTGGCTGCATCTTGAACGCATTTTGTAAACGCACCTACAAATATATTTATTTATTTAATACACCAGAAGTAAATTATAAAAAATAATGAAGAATGAATATTAATTTTACATTATATACAATTATAATGTAAAAAATTGACGTTCATAAGCGGCTCATATGTTCTACATGAATAAATGATTTTTGAATTTGAATTTGAATATAAATGAAAGCACAGATAACATAATATTACATAATCATTCAATAATTTGATTTATTACTCCTAGTAATAAATCAAATGAAAAATAATTTATTAATGTAGAACACTACAGCTGCTTATGAACGTTAAATTTTTAACGTTTAAAAGCTTAGATAAATCTTTGTGGACTGTCCAGGGATATTACTATTATTATGAAATGTTACACTTTACCATTTTCTATCAAGTCAGCAGCTTTATTATAGCAAATGATGAATAAATGAAGAGGACCTTTTTTGTGCAGAATTGTTTTCTCTACAACTTTTATTTGAAATATTTTGTCATATTTCAAACTGTAATCGAGTTATTTTCGAAAATTAGAGACGTTTTTCAACGCTTTTTTTAATTTTTTTCATACCTTTCCGGATCTAAATTTATTTCTCAACATTATTCACGTTGTGGATTTATTTACGCCAAACTGGTCAATTTATGTTTTATTTTATATTTTATTGGACTATAAGTAGAAAAGTTTCTGCTAATTACCAACAGTCTCCCAGCACTTGATGGTGTCAGTAGGTGATTCATTGTTGTAACATTCTATCACTTGTTCCTTGCAGTCAGCGCATACTGGCACCACACTCAGCATGTTAGCGGTTCGCAGTTCGATCCTCGTCGCGGTTGCATTCAAATCTTCTACTGTCAAGCTGAAAAGTTAATAAAAATTTTTGTTGTTTTATTTCATTCTCAATTCTATATACTCCAACTCCAAGCCAGAGCCTTGTATAGACTTTTTAAAGTTGCAATGCATAGGTAAGGTCTATTTTTACCAAAAACGTATATCATTAAATGCAAGAACAATTTACAGCACAGTCTACATTTTGTACAGCGCCATTTAGTAATGGAAAGAGTAGAATACGTAAATTTTAAAAATATGTTGTGATAACTTCGTATAAAGCTTTAAAACTAATAACGTTTAAAAAAATCGGTATCGCAGGTACAGCACTACCCCGCTACAAGAGGTTACAATTTGATATTACACCTGTCAGTTTAGTCTTCGAGATTCGAAAAAACAAACTATAGGCCAACTGAGCCCGATTCTAAGTAACACGTACCAATTTATAATTTCATCATAGCAATTATCGGAGAATTATAAATATTTCAATTATTGACAGATACATGAACAATGGAACATAAACTTATAATCAACGAAAACATTTGGCGATATCGCCTTAAAGATCTCTTATGGAAATCTTTCTCTCTCTCTCTCTCTCTCACACTTGTCTCAGTAATTAAATTGAATTGAATTGAATTGGAAATATTACTTAAGATTAGGCTGTATGGTCTCGTACCTTTGCCTATCCACTTGTGGATAAAATATACTACTATTACTATAACCACAGATAACATAATATTACATACTATAACCACCTCTATGTAATAAGGATGTACGGTGTAAGGATCTTTGCCTGTTACATCATTGAAAAGGAGATGGACGAATATGGAAAAAAAGCCTCCATGTAATATTATCTTATCTGTGCTACCACTATTGCTTAATATATTGCTCCTAATTTTAGACTTGTGAGCAGTGAAAACTGACCCTAATGTCTCAGAGTGGTGTTCATCCAAACATTTTAGTTTCTCCATGTATATTTTGTCTTTATAGTCGGCTCGTGGTGCGATGGCGGTACTGGCCACTGCTGCGGCCGCTCCCCCAGCTAATGTTGCATCCTCAACTAATCTTTCCACCTATTACAATAAACGCAAAGTAAATAATATAACAATAATCATATCTCAGGATAACAGTGAACATTTCATACTTTTTTCATATAATTAAAACAAAAACATTTTTTTAGTTACCAAGACTCACATTGTTATGTTAATAATCATAATATAATAAAAAAAGTAAAATTATTGTCTGTATTAGACCATATTTTAATGTATGAGTAAAACCACAAAATTTTTAACCCGATCCTTTTTCCTCTTTTACTGTTGGTTTTCCCAAGAAATAGGTACAGATAGGTACTTCAAAAAAACATGTGTCATTTTGGCCAATTTGTCCTTCTCTTTAATCGACTTAAAAAATAAATAATTTACGGTGTGTTACAATATCACAATTAAGATGAATTGGCAAGTTGATGCATTTTTTATATTATTTTTACCTGACAAGATATATTTTTACCAGTAATCTACTGTTAACAAGGTACCATGTCAGGTCATACATTACTAGTAATCTCCTCACTCACCCTGTTTTTCTTTTAGAAATGATAATCGTATAGTGTATCAGCCTGTGGTAACAGATTACGCGAACTAGGCACCAGTGGAGTATAATAAAATGAGCATGAAGTTAGGTTAGTTAGCACATCTTTGGAAATTCACGAGGAATTATTATGATTGGAAACAACCCAGAAGGACCTGGTCACGTTAATGTCAACTGGGGATCATAAGACTCATTACTCGGGGAGGGATTGTTAGTAATGTGGACTGTTGACCCCACCCCATTGCAAAGTACCATGTCAGGTTGACCTCCACGCAGTTCCCCTCCAAACCATCTTGATAAATTCCTGATGAATTTGTCACGATGGGCTAACTGACTTGCCCTCATGTTCATCTTATCATCCTCCACTGGTACCCCGCCAGCGTATACCGCTAGCACAGGCGGGTGTACCATTCCATATGCATATAAAAAAAGTCTATATTGTTAAAAATTCTCTTTCTTTTAAAAGGTTCAACCTTTTTTTTAATCGTAGAGAAATAATTAATGAATTTTAAAGAAGATTAGGTTTAGGTTCTTATATTTAAATTGCACATAGCGCAGTGAACAACAGTTGCGAGCGGCTAGCTCATCAACATGTCCCGTTGGAATTTCTGCTGCAATACCACAATTGCGGTAAGAATTACTCTAACAGTGCTGTGAACGCATGCAGTGAATGTTAATTGGTATAAACAACTTGATAAAGATAGTAATATCTGAGGAATAAGGAATTGTATAAGAATTTATTTTCAACGGTTTCCGCGACATTGTCCTAATGAACTGGTGTCACATTGTCCTAATGAACTACCGTCTGTGTCACGCTCTGACAGTTTAGATATATGAATGAAAATAATATATTTATTATCTACTAGCTGTACTCGGACTTCGTCCGCATGGAATTTAACTATATTTTTCTAAAAAAAAGCTAATTTATTATATATATATCATATAAATATTAACTCTACAGAATATTATTGTGAAAAATAGAAAATATAGAATATTTAGAAAAAATAAGTCTTAATATTTTATTTGTATTTACAACTAGCTGTTCCCGCGACTTCGTCCGCGTGGAATTTAACTTAATTTTTCTAAAATAAAAGTAGTCTAAGTTACTTTTTATTACATCAGCTACCTGCCAAAAAAAGTCCCGTCAAAATCGGTCCAGCATTTTTAGAGATTAGCAGGAACAAACAGACAGACAAACAAAATTGTAAAAAATGAAATCTTGGTGTATGTAATGTACCGTATTTATATTCATATGCTACGTGCATATGAATACAAATACGTGAAAAATGGTTATTTCAAATATTACAAACAGCCACTCCAATTTTATTTATATGTATAGATGTATAAAAAAAAGATATAGATTGACCGTTTTTTTTTTTGTAAAATCGTATTAGTATTATTATTATCAATTTAGGTTTCTTCTGCCCGCGATTACGTACTGTAATATATGTAATGTTATGTTATCTGTGGTAATACATATGTACAACTGATCGAGATAAAAGAATGATTAATCTTTGTCTCTTCCAAAATGCGCATAGAATACTATACTATTTGGTTTGTTACTGCTATACAGCAGTAAGTTCTATAATAGAACGTGTATCTAAAGCTGCACTAGCAGACTCCTACCAGATCAGCCTGTGTAGAAACGAGCGTCAAGACGTCGGCAAGGGGCTGCTTAAACCTACATCTGCTGAACTGCAGATTTTCCCTCTCTGCCACACGATGAACCCGGCTAAACTATAGAATGCCTAGGATTTCATCTCATTAATGAAGTATACAAACTACTTAGGCAGTATGATAAATGTTATGATATCCGGTTTATAAAACATTAAAAAAAGAAGTAAGGACGCCAAACAAAAACTAATTAATAACGAGAGAGGGTGATACATTGGGTCGGGAACTTGGGAGTCAAGAGGCGATGGTGGTCGCCATTTTGTTTAATTTACAAGTCGGAAGAAACCATTAATAATATATTAAAAAATAAATAACTGACCATTTTGTTAGAGATGCTGATGTGCTGTTCATCAGGGTCATCTTCAGCTGGGTCAGCGCCAGGAGTGTGTTGAAAGTGCGTAGCCCGTACCGACTGACCTCCACCCATTTTGTAACTGTAAAAATAAAACAGCATTATTTCAATATGTATTTCAAAATTGTTATCATTTTTTAGAGTGACCGAATCGAGGAGGACAAACTTTTCATCGATTGGTCTTGCAGTTTTTTTGGGTACCTAGATACCTACCTAGGTACCTAATATACATACCCGTCATATCTTAGGTAGATACGGGTAGTATCTAGGTACCTACGATATAATGGGTAGGTATATCAATATATGTCTATATCTTATTAAAGTAATAAACGCGAAAGTTTGTTTGTCTTTAATATAATATTTGGAAAGGGGTAATATGTTTTGATAAAAATCTAATGGCAGAAGCATGGCTTGAAAGTCTTTTGAAAGGAGTTGATATAATTGAAACCCAAAATCATACTCTCCGTATAAAGTTTATTCTCCATACACGTGTACAATCTCAGTACATAATGGATGTGAGTATGGATAGATGTTTATTACTCTTTCACACAAATATTACTAAACGGATTTGGATGAAAGTATATCGTAATATAGCTTATACATCAGAATAACATACAGGCTGAATTTCAGGCGGGTGAAATCGCGGGTACAGCTAGTAAATAATATTTTTGCTAATTAGCAATAGCACGCAATAGTATTGATTCCCAGTTCCACAACGTTGGTGAACTTAGTGATACAGCTGTTTAACAGACTGACCCTACTTTCCAATGGGCATAGGTTGGATTCTCGCACAATATAAACCTTTGTTTACTTAGAGTGTTCATTAGGAATGAATGTGTACCGGTTTCTATGTTGAATATCGTATCTCTCATACTTGTTATTTTGTAATTAATTTATTCAAAATAACATTTATACAAAGAGCAACACACAAGTTTCTTGCTCATTCTTCTTGTGATGAGTCTGCGTTCCGAATGAGTGGTAGAATAAAAAATAACTATTCAAAAGTGCTTGTATTGAGTTTATTTGAATAAAGAATATTTCTATTTCTTTCATATATTATGTTTTTACAAAATGGAAATAGATTAAATAACATATTACATATAATCTTTTTGTATTGCTTTGGTGTTTTATCGTAGGTATATTATGTTTTTGCAAAAAGAAAACAGTTTTAGTAACATTTTATAAACATATAAATTAATATATTCTAAACTTCTGACAACTGATACAAGGCTGATTAATATTATATATTTTTTATATAATTTTTTTCACCTATTTTTTTAATCTTTAATATTCCAGAAGCCAAGGTAAAGGCAATGATTTGATGCAGCCTTAACTTGAATATTAGAATATTCCCCCAAGCTAATCGGGACAAAACAACCGTTTGTTCACTATCTACATATAAAATCGATAATTACTCCCTCAGGCAACATTGGGATCGTGTACCAATCGAATTACACCACACTTAGGTATGATAATACATCTTACATAACACTCGTAATGGTCTATCAAGTGGATACATCGACTTTTGTAATCAGATCTCATTGATGTTTTAGTTCGAGATAAGACACAATCATTTGATAAAGTGGTTTTTGTTGTTTTTGAATATTTTAAGATGTTTTCTTATATTTATTGTTTGCACTTCTGTGACCCACACATCACTTCCTGTGTTACACTGTTTTATGTTGATTGGAAGAGATCGCTATTAGAGACAAGTTCTTCTTTCATCAAGACAAAATTTCTAATATGTATTTTAATTTTTGTATTTAAAAATGCAATAAAGAATATATAAGATTTATCAAAAAATATTTAGTATTTTTTTTAAATATATCATAATTGTATGGTTTACTAATATTCTAGTACCTATACAATAGCACATCAGGGATACGCAACACGCGGCCCGCAGCCCGCGGGCCGCATGCGGCCCGTCAAACATGTTTATGCGGCCCGCCAAGCATTTCTATAATTCAATAATATTTTTCAACTTTCTCCCATCAATATATTGGTATAAAATTACATACTAAAGTATTACATTACGTAGTACATACTAAACCGAAACAATTTTTTGCCATTCACTTGTTCAAACATGCAATATGAACGTTTGTATTAAAATTTGTATAGGAATCTTTACTTATTTTTTTTAATTCTAATGTTTAATATAAATAAAGTTTTATAACATTATTAATAGGTATTACTGCGGCCCGCCAAAAAATTTATAAATCAAATTGGCCAGTTGCTAAAGGTTGCTCACCCCTGGTGTATGTGAATATAAAATAACGAACAGCCGGGTGCAAACGTAGCTTTGTTTGACCGCTACAACACGATCTATCTCAGCCTTGAACTTTCTTGTTCGTAATCACACAAACCACAGCATCGACTTATCTTCATGGAACATCATTTGCATGCATATCTACTGTAGGTACGCATAGCCGGATATTCCGGAGAGACTTCTTCTTTGGGGATCCTTATTACGGCCTCGGTGGTATACCTTTAGCACACCGTTTCACTTCCGATGGTCGAGGGTTCTATCCCTAGCACGGTGCAAACGTTTGTAATCATGAGTGTGATTGTTTTTATTGGTCTAGGAGTATATTCTGAATGTATTTACGAAAAAATGTATTTATATCAGTTGTCTAGTACACATACATTTTATATGAATTTCTTCTGTTGCTGCAAATTATAGTAATAACTAATGGCAATCCAAATTTCAATAAACAAAAAAAAACATACAAATGAATCACAGATAAATGTAATTAAAATATAGTGATTATTTGCTCAGTGGATGTAGTAAAAGATTTATTTTTATACGGAACCCTAAATCAGTCGCAGTTATATTACGCTACTTATTTCTTACAATTTGTGATGATATCACAGGGTATAAGCTATTTTCAATATAACATATTATTTCCATTATTACGACTGCATATATACAATGTTTGTAGACAGACACTTTGTAAAACATGCCATGATAATTTAAATTAATTCATTATCTTCATATATATCTTAAGTTAATCATCTGATCAAGTGATATGATAATGGTTTGAATTACAACTTCACAGATCAGTACTAATTGATTGTTATTAATATTGATATTAACATACAGCTATGATGAGTTTCGCGCTGTGCTTTACGTATCTGTGGTGACGTTAGTTTGCGCGGGAAAATACTTTGGATACTATTCTTATTCTTTTATACTCAAATTTGTCGACTGCGATTTGGACATTGTAAATTCAGTGCACATTTACACCGAATGAAGATCATTAATTCTCCGATTTGTCTTTTATGCTGTAACGAAAATCAAACATTAGAACATATATTTTTGATTGCCCGGCCTTCAATTTAGACAGAATTTTGCTCATTGCTAAGCTTCAATAACTATATAAGATTATTCCGCCATCGCTTCAAGAACTATTCAAATGCACTGCAACTTTTAAACCAATTTACGACTTCATCATAGCAACTATCGGAGAATTATAAACATTTCAATTATGGACACATACATGGACTTAACACAAACTTATAATTAATGAAAAGATTTGGCGATATCGCCTTGAAGAATTTTTTTAATTTCATGGAAATACTACTGAAGATTGGGCTGTATGGTCTCGTACCTTTGCCTATCCACTTGTGGATAAAATATACCACTACTACTATTCTTATTCTTTATTCTTTTTAATCTGTGCTATTTTTTTGCAGATAGACATGTGTTCTCTTTTTAAATGTCCTTTTTTATTATTTTAAATGCATTTTGTTATCTGTATCTATGTTGTTAACTATAATATTACTTAAACATACGTCAACCCATTTAACAATCGGAAAGAAAATTAATTTATTCCTACAATAAGTTTCTTCTCTTAAAATAGTAATAACGAATAAAAATAGTTTAATTGTATTTTGTAAGACACATTAATCAAATCGTTCGTTCGCGATTATAAAACATGTAATTTATTTGCGATTATCTATAAACCTTTTGTAAGTTTTAGATGCAAGTTATGTACTATATTATATATGTATAATATATATAGTAACAGCATTACATAGTATATATAATGCTGTTGACCGCAGCTGACTTTTACAACTTCACCAAAGGATAGGAGGCGAGTGCAGATGACACTCCAACCCTGTGGAAGTACGTAGGAAGCGGCTAAAAGTCAACTCCTGCCTAGTCAAATGGTCCGTATATAAATCTAAAACTGTAGATTGTAACCACCCCACTGATTGGGGTCACATTCAAACGGGTCACCCCATTGTCACATTCAAACGGGAATTGAAATTTAGACAGCCTGAACCGAAGTTCGAACCCATTAGCGGTGCCCTTAGACTAAAGTCGTATTCGTTAGGCAGGAGTTGGTCTTCAGTCGCTCCATAAGTCCTTCCGCGTGTTTGGAGTGCCATCTGCACTCGCCCCCTATTGTTCGGTGAAGCTCTAAAGGCCAGCAGATGCCAACAGCAGAATAGTTCGAAAAAAAATATAACCAATTTTTATTACTATATTATCTTTACTTTTGGTAAAGGACATTCTCTTTTAATGAAATTAACTGATCAAACAAGAAATACAAAAAATATCTGTTCCAAAAATAACAATTATTTTTGGAACAGATATTTTTTGTTTTCAAAACACTGCTTGCATGTGAGTTCGTATGATGTTTACGCATGCCTTTCTTGCGTATACGCAGTTTTATATCCTGATTAGCCAAGTTTTGGAAGGTACGTTAGCATCTCCAAAATCGAGTTTGGTTAATTTGGTTTTTATTACATTATTTTATGGTGCAATATTCCCGATGGAATTTGAACTGTGGGTGGTAATGTACAACATACAACTATGTGGGCTGCGATGGTTGTGTTGTGGCGAAAATGCTCAATAACTGTATTTTTTGTAATACCCGGAAGTTTGTAAGTGTGGATGGATGGAAGGATACATGTTTGATATTCTTACGTAAATAGTACTGAATGTATTTTAATGAAACTTTACAATAATATAGCTTATACTGTGCTTATGCGTAAACATGCGCACAGCTAGTGCTTGATAAGTATAAGTGTAGGTATACATAATAAATAAAGATAATTTCGCCAAATTACAATCAAATTTAATCAAGCCTTATATGAGACAGGGTTTACAAAAGTTTAATAATAATATAAATACTATATAATATCGTCTTAAGTACAGTTTGTACTATGGATACTAAACAATTGATTGAAATTGTAAATACGTAAACACTCAGACAAACACACATAATTATTTGTATTGGTACAAATATTTGTATGATTACAATCATTCTCATGAATAGAAATGTTCCATTGAACCCGCAACTATGTGCCAAACCACTAGAGACTAGATCAACGAGGCGGTCAAAGTTGAGTGATCGGTCAAAAGTAACTAAAGAAAAATCTAACAATTCCGAGCATAGAAGTTGTCAGTAGAATACTGACACCTATGATACTGATGTGTTCCCGAGGGCTCTAGATTTGTATCCATAGATTTAAAAAAATACTATTACATTTCTGTAATAACTATACCAACGTAATATTGACAAATTGACATTGACTTATTGTCAATAATAATAGTAAGCAGCGTCAAATAACTATTCAACATCCATCGCTGCTTCTTAACTATAATATTGTCAAGTTTAAATATTAGATAGCTATGTATAGGTAACAAAGGTCAAGAGTCGTAAGGATGAGTTTCAAAACGGGTTTCCGCGGGGCGCGGGGTATGATGTCATAGGAGGCTTCGAAGGTATATAGGAGATGCGCACGCGCCGCGTGCGTCTGTTATCTTTATGTGCGAGAATTTGGTGCGACAGATGATGAAGATGCTGACTTTTGTGACATTGTTCGCCGCTGCGGTAAGTAGTTATGGTCATTTTTTTTAAATAACCTTGAACAATTCACACTGTGCCATCTAGTCCCATGGTAAGCAGAGCTTGTGTTACGAGTACTAAACCACTGACATAAATACTTAGATTTTTTTTTGTAAATACATATATAATATACATAGAAAATACCCAGACCGATACAAACAATTATACTCATGAAAACAAATGTTTGCAACATGCGAGGAATCGAACCCACGACCATCGGAAGTAAAGCGGTGCGCTAAACCGCTAGACTACCTAGGCTGTAATTTAAGGTCAAGTTGATGGGTGATATTAGAAAATAATAAAGAAATAACCTAGTTGGACGGCCTCGGTGGTCTTGCGATATATCACCTCACTCTACTTACGATGGTCGCGGGTTCAATTCCTGTACAAACAGTTGTATTCGTGATTATAATTGTACATGTATTTATCTGCATATTTCCTATGTGTATTTGGTATTTAAGTATTACTATCAGATATTTAGTAATCATAACACAAATTCTGTTAGTTTGGAACTAGATGGTGATGTTTTAATTGTCCAAGATTGTTATTAAAATAATTAATATGATATAAGCATATAACACTTACAAATTTGAATACTAACATGATTTCTACATTAATTTTCTTTAACTTTGTACATAATATTATAACTGTGCTCTAACTAAAATATAAAGTATAGCCATCTGTAAACAATACTAGAATCTATATTTTTTATAATATGCTCTAATGTAATAAGTAGATTTAGTTAACATTTTAATTTTTCGGTACTTATTTCAAATAATTGTTTCTTTACTCGATTGTCTTTCTCTTTTAATTACACACTGCAATATATTATGGCAATTTTATTATTGACTGCTGTAAGCAGAGCAACTTCGCTTCTTGTCAGTTCTCAGAACTGAACGCAAGGAAAAAGAAACATAAAAATTGGGGAAGCAAAAGCAGCTAAAAATAACTGAATAAATATCTTATTCTTAACTTAAATTTATAAACATTAAAATATTTTAATTTATTTAATTTACTAGCTACTCGCCCAGGCTTCGCCCGGGTGTACAGTACATGTATTATACATATAAACCTTCCTCTTGAATCACTCTATCTATTAAAAAATTGCTTGAAAATCCGTTGCGTAGTTTTAAAGATTTAAGCATACATAGGGACGGACAGACAGGGACAGCGACTTTTTTTACACTATGTAATGAAGATCTACTTTTTATTATGACAGTGCATAAAGCAAGTATGCTGTGTAAGGGTAGAGTCCAATAGCTTACTCGGTTCTCTCTGCCTATCCAGTAATGTACATGCCGTGAAGATATTTTCTTGATATCCAACGTGACAATTTATTGTTTGACACAAAATTGGAAACTGGTTAATTTATGTCAATTAATAGACAGTCAAAGAAAAAATAAATTTCTTGAAGATTCAGATAAAGTTAGCTTACAAGTTAAGTATTTATCGGATGAACAAATTTGCTTTAATATAGCTAGTGAAGCTGTTAAGTAAGACGACAGATAAGATAATATTGCATAGTAAGACTGAAAGTCTGGCCACGTTTTTTTATACCTATTCACTTTAATTATCAACATCACAACCGAACTGCTCGAGTATACATGTTTTCGTGGTAGTTCAGAAAACGGGACAATTTTGCGTTCCAGAGTTAATTTTGGGGACACCGGGACTCGATATAAAAGGGACAGTACCATTTAAAACGAGACGTCTGGTCACATTATTGATACCCAACAAACATAAATTAAATTAAATATAAACAAAATCAACTTTACCTTGTTTTTGGCAATCGTTGAATTTATGAACTACTTGTTTTATTTCACAGATTTATCTTCCGGTTGTCTACTATATTCTTGATGTATTTACTATAATTTTGTATTGAAACTTGCAATTTGAAAACGTATTGAGTGAGGTTAAAATATGATAGATGTCAAATGAAGACGGCTTTTGGTAGCAGTATCTAATAGAACTCTATGGAAGGATTTCGATTTAATTTTCTAGTGTTAGCTGCCATACTCTTTCAAAAGGTTTGATGGATTTTGATGACATGTTATATGTATATTCGGTAGCTCTAAGAATAGGTTGTTATCTAGTTTTTATTCAGTGATAAGAGAGGTTCGCCCCAAAACATTTTCAAAATTTTGACAATATTTATATAGCATTTTATTCTCCCCTCTATAACTAACCTCTATTTTTTTATATGAATATTTCGTTAGGGCTTAACTGCTTGGTAGACCACGTGGAGATGGCACCGACTTGGCATGTTTCTAGCAAGGGGATAAGCAGTTACTATTGCCAATAATCAGTTTAATGATTTTTTATTTGAGTCCCTGGATGATTTCGACCTGGACAACCGAATCTAGTAGTTGGTAGTATCAATGTTCAGGATACGTTCGTAGGATTAGTGCTTGATGTATATTAAAACTGATTAAAGAACCTCGAAAGCAAATTATAAGTACGTATCTCAACAACAAAACAACATAAAAGAGTTGCAATTGCTTAGAATAAGGACGTAATTAACATAGAAACATTGTATGTTATTAGTATTCATAATGTTTACAATGAAATAAAATAGCATGCTTTTATGATACAAGTAAAAACATAAGTCTCCTTTTTAGTCAAATTTACTTTCAATTATTTGAATTATATTGTATGAATGACGATTTTACAGTTTTGATGAATTTAAGGTATATACATATCACGTAACTAACATATTTTCACCTTTGAAAGCGACTTCGTTGACTTGAACGTAAACTACATTATACATATCTACTCTATATTAGATGTCAAGTATATACGGAACTTTAAGATTATTTTTATCCCCTCTGATCGATCCCCCGTCCAATTCAAACGGGGATCGAAATTACGACGGCCTGAGCCGAGGTTCAAAATCCTAGTGGTGCCCTCATACTAAAGTCGTATCCGTCAGGCAGGAGTTGGCCTTCAGCCGCTCCATAAGTCCTTCCGCGGGTTTGGAGTGCCATCTGCACTCGCCCCCTAACGTCCGGTGAAGCTGTAAAGGCCAGCTGCGGCCAACAGAATTAGAGTAGTCCGAAAAAAAAATCTGATCGAGCCCCCGTCCAATTCAAACAGGGATTGAAGCGACGAACGACGGCCTGAGCCGAGGTTCGAACCTTTAGTTGTCAGGCAGATACTGTTCTTCTGCGAGATTGAAGTGCAATCTGCATTCGCCTCCTATCTTCCCGTGAAGCTGAAGAGCCAGCTGCGGCCAACAGCATTAGAGTAGTCCGAAAAAAAAAACACAAAAGCAATTATGTGTTATTAATTAAACACATTAATATTTTTTTAAAACATACATAATATATATAGAAAATACCCACAATGATACAAACAATCACATCGATGAATATAAATGTTTGTACCGAGCGAAGAATCGAACCTACGACCGTAAGAAGTAGAACGGCGCGCTACACCGGTAGACCACCGAGGACGTCAATTTTTTTTTTTCTCTTTATTTTTTTTTTGGGATTTTTGTGCACATAATGTGACGATGACAATCCCATCGTACCTATACTAATTAACAAAAATAAACTAAAAAAACTTAATCTAATATGATACCATCCAGAACAATAACTTGGCTGCATCGGAAGCTGGTTCTGCCAATATTTCATGAAATACTCCTACGTCTAACCTATTTAACATTAAAGCTTGGATGGTATATTCTCTTTTATATGCGTTACGAACACATTCCATTAAAATATGATGCAGATCTTCTTCTTTTCCACAAGCTACACAATTAGGGGATATCTTTTTTTTCATTAAATAAGCAAATTTATTTAATGGAATGTGTCCGGAACGCAGTCTATTCGCAATAACAATGTGCTGCCTATTAATCTTTGTGAGTGCGAACCATGGAATATGAGGAGGCTGGCACTGTATCGTTTTATACCATATGCCCTTTGACTTAGATCTTTCATCAAAATATTCTTTCCAGCTTTTATAGCACTTTTTTTTATACTTGCTTAGTATCTCTGAATAGTCTGGTAACACATCAATAATTACTCCTTCAGAGCAGGCTTTTTTAGCCAAAGTATCAGCCTTCTCGTTTCCCTGTAGACCTACATGAGCTGGGAGCCACTGCAATGCCAATGTCACATTTTTAACCCTAAAATTATTAATTTTATCTAAAATTTTGCATGCTGTTGATATTCCTCTGATATATAATAATAACTCAGAAAATGAAGTTTGACGTCTTATAGGTATAGGTATTAAAACGGATATAAAAAATAGGTTTTTATAATTACATATATAACACTACAATACAATTATTACAATACAATCATAACATGATTGATGACTGTATTCTGTTTTTTTTCTGAATTACGTGTTCTATTCAAATTTTGTACATCGAAGTCGATAATTAATTTGTGAATGAATAAAAAATACTTAAGTATTTTGTTTTTGTTATAAATTGGTCATAATAACTATTGGTATGTCCATATAATTACTGCTGTAGTGTAATTATTATTTTTGCTATGTATATTATTTACAAAAAAAAATGTAACTATGTATTTATATCAGATGTCTAGTACACATAACACAGGATCTGTTTAGCTTAGGACTAGATGGCGTTGTGTAACTTATTCTGTGTTTACTTGCTAATATTATAAATGCGAAAGTTTGTCAGTTTCAATGGATAGATATGTAGAAGGATGGATGTTTGTTACTCTTTTACGCATTGCTGAACAGATTTGGATGACGCGTTACAGAAATATAACTTATACATCAGAATAACACATAGGCTATAAACTTCACGCGAGCGAAACTCCGGGCACAGCTATGTTATTAATCATCATTAATCATTACATAGTATAAAACAAAGTCGCTGTCGCTGTCTGTCCGTCCCTATGTATGCTTAAATCTTTAAAACTACGCAACGGATTTTGAAGCTGTTTTTTTTAATAGATAGAGTGATTTAAGATGAAGGTTTATACGTATATATAATACATGTACACACGGATCGAGTAGCTAGTATATTTATATAATACTAGGTGTCCCAGCAAACGTTGTTCTTCCTTAAAATAAAAAAAAAATTTGGGTTGGACTACCCTTAACATTTAGGGGGATGAAAAACAGATGTTGGCCGATTCTCAGACCTACTCAATATGCTCACAAAATTTCATGAGAATCGGTCAAGTCGTTTCGGAGGAGTATGGGAACGAAAACTGTGACACGAGAATTTTATATATAAGATTAATAATAGTATTAAGTACATAATGATTTAATACATTACAAAAAGACGCCATTCGCTGCTAAAAGCTTTGTTTGAGAATAAAATTTATCTTTAAACACCTGATGTCATTTGCTTACAGAAAAAAGATGTTTGACCGGCATTAAATCAATTTTATTAGTTGTGGTTCGAAATATTAATTGTAAGAATTATGGTTCAGTATACATTAAAGGAAACCATTCGATTTAACCATTATTATTAACTAACATTATAGTGAAATTACTAAGCTACTGTTAAAAATAGTTTCTTTCATTACGAAGATTTCATTCGATCTTGCTTGTCTAGCGCACCTGGTTTATAGCACCGCCTCACTTCCGATGGTTGCAGGTTTGAGTGCTCGCACGGTACCTGCATTTGTATTTATGAGCATGATTGTATGTATTTGTCTGGATGTTTTCTATATATATTATGTAGCTATTTTGAAAAAATATTATATATCTAAGTATTTATATCAGTTGTCTAGTACCAATTACCTTGTAAGCACAGCTTAGATTGGGACTAGATGTCGTTGTATAAATTCTCCTGTCTTATTTTTACTATTTCTCGTGTCACAGCCAAGCTGGAGGTCTGTTAATAGGACGGGCTATGTCAAGTATCTGGTTACTATTTTCTTTAATTTTTCTTGAAACACATATTTCAGTATTATCTTAGATTTCCGGTTCTGGCAGACAAAGTATTACTATTTGTACAGATAAAGGCTTTGATAGAAATAGCTTTTAGATCCTAGAAATAGTAATTAATATGTGTATACCATGAGTGTCATGACAAATCAATAGAGGGCTACATGCCCTCTATTGATTTTAATATCTTTATAGATAAGGAATTGTGATTTCTCAAGTGAACCCTTAAATTCTTATACATAAACTAACTGTACCAGCAAACGTTGTTTTGCCTTAAAATAAAAAAAAAATTAGGGGTGGACTACAACATTTAGGGGGATGAAAAATAGATGTTGGCCGATTCTCAGACCTACTCAATACACTCACAAAATTTCATGAGAATCGGTCAAGCCGTTTCGGAGGAGTATGGGAACGAAAACTATGACACGAGAATTTTATATATAAGATATGTAAATCGAGATATAAAAACAATATGTTCGTTTGAGACACATAGATAGTTAACTAATTCTGTTGATGACAATCGCTTCTTCAAAATACCTGTTCCTTGCGAATCAGTAACCAATATATTATAATTATTCATTATCACTAGCCGGAAGATAATAAACCCTTGATGTGTCATTCATTTCTTAATATGATCTTTTCCTTATACCTCGTTTGACTTCCTGGAAATATTGTAGTTTCTGATCGTATAACAATAATTATGAATTGATATAAATATTGGGTCAATGTTACTCATAGTGTAATAAGTAATTAATTGATATTTTGCCGTTTTAGTTTATTTAAATATTTATGTGATTACTTAAGTTAAGACTAAGAAACTTAAGTAAAAGAAAGAAAAATAAAGTTTTGAGTAAACTTGGCTTATTTTCTACCATTTTTTTACCATTTTCTACCATTCTACCATGCTATTCAATTAATATATCTAATCGAGTTTTAACGAATAATTTTATGGTTATTAAAAGATATTGACCTATGTAAATACCTTCGTTTATAACCAAATTACTCGTGTTTTAAGATCTCTCTCTTGTTAGCTATTTATCCCATATGGTGGTGGGGTCAGCTTTCCT